TCTTAGGAGATTTCCAAGTACCCAGGCCATGGTACAAGCCGTTCCTTCCGTAAGTTGCCGGGGCACTGAGCAGCTTGCTGTCACACACTTGTCTTCTCAGAGTATCTTCGCCTGCTTTCTGACGATGTCCTTTATGAGCTGCAGCCAGCACAGGCCTGGCACTCTAGTTCTTGTGGCTGGCCCGTGTGTGTTTCTCAGTGGGGCTCTCGTTTCATTCATGAAATGGTGCAGCATACTGCCCTTACCAAGCACTATCCCCTGTTCTTGCCTTCTGCCAGGCATCTGCCGGAACCTCAGATCCATTGTGGTGCAGATTGGGATTGCTGATTACTTTAAAGAGCCCAGCAGCCCTGAGGCCCAGAAGCTGTTTGAAGATATGGTAACAAAACTCCAGGTGAGAGGTGGGCTCAGAAGCCACAAAAGACCCCTTGGCTGGAGCTGGTGAGGGTGGCAGTAATTCACCTGCCCAGCGCCAAGGAAGAGCTAACCTGAGGGCTCTATCTCTAGGCTCTGCGTCGGAGGCCTGGCTTCTCGAAGATTCTGCACGTCAAAGTTGAAGGTGGCTGCTAACCCGAGTGAGGGGGCGGCAGGGTCCCTGCCAGCCCCACACCAAGGCACTCTTTGGACCTCTGGGAGGACCCTGGCTTGGACTAGACCTTGGAGGCCTAGAGTTATACCAGGTTCCAGACAGTGGTCGAGTAACCCTGTCCAGTTGGAACAGCAAGATGACAGGTGACCCAGAGCACTGCCTCCCCGGGGTAGGGGCTTGGACAGAAGCTGCCCTGAGACCCCCGGGACATCCCCAGCTGGAGCAGCCTTCTGGCACAGCAGGCAAGGAGCTGGCTCACCAGCAGCCTCAGAATCGGAACCCCAGCAGTCCCTCAGCTGCTCAGGCGGGGCTCCTTCCTGCCGCCAGCTCCTGGTCAGGAGCCAGACGGTACTTAAGGCAGCTCGGACATGGCAAGGAGGCCTCTTCTTCCCCTTGCCTGGCCAAGCAATCCCTCTGCAGGACACTCCCATCAGAGAGTGGGCCTCTCTTCCAGGCCCACATCCTCCAGTGATGATCCAGGCCTAAGAACCCACGTACACACTTAGGGGAAATAGGGCAGGGCCGTAGGGATGGGTTTGAAAGGGCAAAACAATGTCTCCAACTGCCCGGGATGAGGCCCACACCTCCCTAGCAGGTAAAGAGGAGACTACAATAACACAACGACTTCTCATTGTACACCACAGCTAAGCTTAAAACTTAGCTATACTTACCACTCCTTGCTGAGGACTGGGGTGGGGTGGGGTGGGGGGCCCTGGGCTCTCTGTGGTGCTGAGGCTCTGGGGAGAGGGGGCTGGCTTTACTTCACAGCTTGTTTGAGGCAAGGAGCTAGGTCGTGGTAGCATGGGAGAGTGAAGAATCCCGCACGCAGCCCAGCTTCCTGAGTCCTTACAGCCCTGGGCTGAGGCTACAGTGGAAAACGTGGAATGCTTGGGGCACGCTGTCACGGGCCCTGTACCACATCCAAAAGTCTGTGAGCACCAGAGTGCCACAGACTGAGTGTCCCTAAGCAAGCTCCTCCTCTCACTCATGGCCGAGGCCATGAGCCTTAGCATGCCTCACTTGGGCACATCTTTCAAACATCTGGTCTCATTCAGATCTTGGGTTTTGTTTTGTTTCTGCTCCTGTCCGAGGTGGGACCCCTTGTCAGTCTTCTACAACGGTGCCACAGGCTGGCCTGCGCATGAACCTAGATGTGGGCTGTCGCCTAACGAGTCCCTTCCATTGCTGTACACCCTCCTGCGCAATGCTTCCAGATCCCGTGGCTCTGTCCCAGCTTGTCACCATCACCGTGACTTGTCCTGTCCTGAAATGCCAAGGCTGTCCGTCCTGCATGAGACCTTGGCTGTGGTGCCTATGCCCCTGCCTCTCACAGCTGCCTCCCAGCCCTGTCCCCAGGAGTCACAGGCAACAGCACAACTTTCCTGATTTCAGTGGCTCAGAAGGGAGGTGGACATGCATGGGGGGAGTTCCCGTCTCCCGGATAAAGCACAAGCTGATGTGGTGGTTGGTCAAGCCTGCCCCCAGGGGCTTCCATTCCTCAGCCCTAGGATTTGGAGATCTCCCGGGCAGGGGAGGCACTAGAATGCCTGGAGTCGAGGGAACTAGGTCAGGGTGCACTGCCATCAGAGCAGGAAGCAAGGCTCTATTGTATCTACACTGCTTCCTGTCCATGGAGAGGGAAATGTGCCCCTTTCTGTGGGCACAAGTCTGCCCACTGAAAAGATGTTTCCAAGAAACCCCAAGGTCTCACCTGTGCTCCCTGACTAAAGGTGGGTAAAGTGAAAATCCCCAACCTGAGAGACAGGTCGGCGTGTCCTGGCGGTGTCAGGCGTGACCCCCACTTGTGGTCCCTTTGCTTTCTCCCCAGGGGACCAACCCAGCTTCTGGGTGCTGGGCTTACTTCAGTCTTTAGCAGTCAAGAGCCAGAGTTGGGGATGGGGCGTCGGGCTCCCTGAGAAGCCCCATAGCCCATCCTCCGGCCCTCAAAGGGAAGCCCTTTGTGTCTTACAAGGCACAGAAAAAGGTGTGAGGGCTGTGGTGCTCCAGCAGCACAGGGTCTATGGAGGGCTCATGGGTGGCAGCCAGCTGGCGTCTCTCCCGCTCCCGCTCCCACCCGCCACACAGCCTGGCCCGAGCACCCGTGAAGCAGCATGTTTGGCTTGAGGACTTCATGCTTGCGCAGGCTGCTTTTCCCCATAGTATGGCAAAAGCGTATACGCTCCTGCCCAGAACCCCAGCAATCAGGTGACCTCTCTTTGTTGTTTCTTTTTTAAACCCTATGACAACGGAGGCCAAGTCCTCTCAGGAATTGCCTCAGAAACCAAACAAAGAGGCCTTGTTCCCAAGGCCTGCTGCCACAAGGTTTGGCGCCTTTGAGCTTTCCTGTCCCCAGCCCTTAATGTAGAATGCTTCAAAACACAGGCAGTGAGCTGTCAACCCAAGTCTCTGTAAGGCGCTAAGTTGAAAGAAAACTTCCCAGAGTGACAATTGGTGCCAAAGACATAGTTCCAGTGAACTTGGAAGACGTGTGACTGAGTGGGATATGGCCCAGTGCCCAGGAGTTAACCGCTCGCTGATGGGTAGAGCCTACCCTGTCAGCCCTTCTACCCGTGGCCACACTTTCTCACCCAGCCTTGGCTCAGGCCAGCGTCTCTGTATATATTACTGTGCAGTGTGTATACTTACTCCTGGACAAGTGAGCTCACCTGTAGTCTTGCCCAGGTACAAGGCTGCAGGTTGGCTGAAGAGCAGAACATTAGGCTTTCCTCGACTCTTTGGGACCTTAGTCTGAGACTGCCCGACAATCAAGCAGGCACCCCACCATGAGGCCAGCAGTCCCGGGGAGGCTTGTGGGACTCGCAGCGTCCACTGCCCCCTGGCAGGGATCTCAGCTGGCCCCCAGGCCCTGCCTTCCCTGCACATCAGGCAGAAGGGTTTACTTGTGTTTCTACAGTGGTGCCTGTACCTCCAGCCCCCAGGGGCCTCCCTGGCCCCACTTTTCTGCCCCACCCAGGCACACCCCAGCACTTTGCTCCATGTCACCCGGATGCCCTTTGCCGAATGCATTGAGCATATGTATTTAAAAGGATTCATGGGCATCAGAGAATTTATGGTTCTGTATCCAATAAAAGGTGATGAAACTGGAAAAAAAAATGGATGTAACATACTGCCATTATTTGTTAGACACGAAAACCCCTACCCTTTGTTTCCAAGAGTCACAGTAGCCCAGGCTGGCCTCAAACTCAATACTGAAGACAGCCTTGAGTTGCAGCTTTCAGGTGTCAAGGAGTACAAGTGTGCATCTTGCCAAATTTGTGTGGTCCTGGGAATTGCATCCAGGCACCTTATGCATACTAGGCAAGCACACCACCAAGAGACACCATCAGGCTCTTCTGTAGCTATGGACACTGACGCAGGCGTCCCCCTTAGAGCTGCAGACAATGCTGGAGAAAGGCCCGAGACTGCTCAAGCCTGCTCTGCTGCCCAGATATACCAAGCCTCCATTGCAGGGTAAGAAGCAGAGGGACTGCACCCCACAGACCCACTTCAGGAGGCTTTAGCTACCAATCATTTCCACCTATGAGAGACCAAATTGTTAGTATAGCTTGGCCTTAATTTCCCCAATTTTACATAATGGGTTTTTATGCATAATAGCACCTGTTTAAATTTAAACACACACACCTCAAACGTGTCTATCATAAACTGCAAACTGTACAAATAATCCTTGAGAGCCTACTGCCCCAACCTGATCACACACTCCAGAGTGCAAAGTCCAGAGTGCACACCTGCCCACAAACCCTATCCTGCTTCAAGACCATCTAACTGTTAAGTGCAGGGTTCAAATTCTCTATTCCTTCACAGATTCAGGAAGCAAGAAGTTCAGTTACTCATCACAACCCCTTCAGCTCTAATAGCCACTATCTACAGCTCTAGCTTGGGACAGTTAGCAGAAAAGACACGGGAAGATGCTGCCTGTCTTCTGTGCCAACACCATTAACTGCCCCCAGTCACAAGAAAGCAGGACCTGGGATGGAGGCATGAGCCAGTCATTGCAGCTTACTCACCCTGGGTTCAACCCACAATACCAGTTCAAAAAAAAAAAAACTCTCGGGATGACCGAGCATAGAAGAACAGCTCCAAGGCCGTGTAAAGGTGCAGAGATCCTATGACATCCTATGACGTCCTAACGCTTTCCCCAGATCTCTCATTTCAGAATATTTTAAGAGGAAGGACACGTGTAAGCTCAGAGAACATGAGACGTGGAAAGAGCAGACAGAACGTAAGTCGTCTACAGTGATGGAAGTAATTCTGTGTGCCGAATCTGCTCTAGGACTACAGACGATACCAGGAGGAAAGGAATCACCACACATTTCGCTCCTGCTCTGAACTGCACCTGCACTGAGACTTACAGACAATCTCATTCTGAAAGGAAGAAGTTTATGGGAAAAACTGACCAAATAATCTTAAGTTTTATTTAAATAACCTCCAGGGAGAACACAGCAGACTAATGAACCGTATTCTCACCACCAATTCCCTCATCAGGGGGTGCGACCGCCACTCAGTGAAGGCGGCCTTGGCCTCGACCCCGGCCAGCTGCTGGGGGAGCATCCACGGTAGAGCGGGGGTTCTTGATAGTCTCATCCACAGACACGATAAGGCAGGCAGCCTCAGAAGCTGCCGTCAGGGCATTGATGCGCACCATGGCTGGCTCCCACACGAAGGCCTGGAAGTTGTCGGTGATGCCCTCATTGTTGATGTCCACCCCATACCACATGCCCCCCTGAAAGAGAGGGAGGAAGGCACTTTAGAACGACTTCTCCTCTTCCTGCACACCTTCCAAAGGTCTCAATTGCCAGGAATTTAGGATTGATGGCACTTTCCCAAGAGAACCTGAAGAAAACGGCACCTTTCCCCACCTGCCAACACCTGCTTCCAACTCTGGGCATGCTGATCATAAGCACCCAGGCCCTTCCAGAGAGCTGCTGTTCCCAGACCTGGCCACTATGCCAGGGAGTTGTCCACTATACCCAGCAGTGACCACATTGCCAGACAGCACATACCTAAGAGCCTACCCTCACCCATCCAATCCCTGAACCCCAGAACAGGGAATCACCTGTGCATGCCGAGCCCGAAGCTTGTTAAGGATGTTTGTGGCGTCAAAGCCAGCGTTGTCACACAGCTGTCGTGGAATAATTTCCAGCGCCTTGGCATACGCCCCAATCAACAGCTGCTGCTTCCCTGGAATGGTCCTTGAGTAATCCCGCAGGTATTTGGAGAGCTCCATCTCAATGGCTCCACCACCAGCCACCACAGAGTCATTCTGCAGAAACCAAATGGCTCACAATGTAGCGGGGCTCAATCCCAGGCTTCAAGTTGGGCCACACAGCAAACCCTCCTTCCCAGAAAGTGAATGAATACCTCTTGTTCTGTCCCCACCCCAAGCTCCAGGTGTTCAGCCAGACACAGCTAGCACCCAGCCCACCTCAGCTAAAAGGTCACTGTCAAGGTCAACCACAGATGGCTTGGGCGTGGGGACTTCAGGAGGACCGCTGAATAGATCAGCCCCAGTTTGTTAACTAGTTTTGGCCTATGCAGGGTCCCAGCACTCAGGAGGCAGAGGCAGGTGGGTCTCTGTGAGTTCCAGGACAGCCAGGGATACAAAGAAACCAAAAAAAAAAAAAAAAAAAAAAAAAAAAAAAAAATAAATAAGACAACAGCATGGCCTGCCTGTATGTGAGGCTGAAGTTACTTCTCCGTGATTTGTGGGATAAATGAGAACTTAGTCTGTCTGTGGTATGCAGGGGAAAATCAAAGCCCAACATGTCACCTAGGAAGAACAAGTTATCAGCTCTAGAGTTAGGGGACTCCTGGTACCTTAATGGCCCGCCTCACAATCATGATAGCATCATGCAGGGACCGTTCCGTCTCCTCCATAAACTGTTCCGCGCCACCACGGAGGATGATGGTGCATGTCTTGGCCTTGGGGCAGCCAGTGAAGAAATTGTACCTATGTCAGGAACAACGGTGCACACATGAATTGCTGCCCGACCTCTTGCTGCCTGGCCTCCCTGCCAAGCCCTCCCAAGAGAAGCAGCTTCTTCATTGAGGCTGTCAACCCTAACCTTGGGAGTACTTTTGAGGCAGGGCTGGGGTGATACCATTGGAGCACGAAAGCTTGTGGAATTAGATCTAAGATCTGACTAGAACTACTTCCCTTCTGTAACACTATACCTGAGCCCTATCTACCCCTCCACCCAACAGCGCCTTGAAAAAAGGAAGAGTACAAGGCACATACCACAACCGTAACTTGACAAAAAAGGGGTTGGGCAGACGTATGCAGTTCCTGGGAGCTGAGCCATAGACTCACCTCTCGCCTCCGATCTGGGTCTCTTCAAACACCTGGCAGCGGCCTAGCACATCTGGAACCAGAGCATTCACACTCGTCTGAATTGAGCCTCCACAGGCCTGAGGAGCAAGGGAAAAAAAAAAAATCAGTGAGGCTAACTGTCCTCCTGCCACCCACTCAATAGGATGGTTTCCATGCTGAGGCTGCCACAGAAGCTTCTTTACCCTAACCTCTAGACGATCCCCACTACCCTGCAAAAAGATGCAATCAAAACAGTACCAAACACACAAAAGGCAAAAGGGTCTAGTTCAAAGAAGATAGAGACCTGATGTCTAGTACTCTAGGTCTAGCAACTCTGTTCAGGAACAGTTCTTTGGACTGGCCCCACTTGAGAAACCGAGAGAGAAAGCCTTGGCTGTAAGCAATGCCCACTGAGCCTGACCCACTGACCAATGTGCTGCTGTGTAGCATCTACTTCCTGACCTGTCTAGGTCAGAAAAGTCCATTATTGGGTATACAGACACTGGAATGGAGCATTTCTTGACAAACAGTTAATACAGGGACAATCTGACAATTATATCAGCTCAGGGCCGTGAAGGGTTGCTTACCATCATTGTCCTCTTCAGATCCTCCTCAGGCACACGGCCAGCACAGAACATGTCCCTATCAGCAAAGTACTGGGTAGCCACATCCCCAATGGGGAGTTTGGACAAGATGACTTTGGCTCCAGACTGATGGATCTTCTCTAACTTGTCATAAAGAATGTTCCACTCAGCATCAACAATTGCCTGATAATCCTAGAGATCACAAAAAAGACGAAGGTGTTTGGGTATGGAAGTTGGTGAACAGGGTAGGCTAAGGCTAACCCAACTCCTCCCCCCACAGAAAACATCTGGGAATTCAGAGGGGCCAGCAGTCCAAACATACAAGGACCATTAAAAGCAATCCCGTAACATTTTCAAACACAAATAAACAGAGTAATTTCCAAAGAGTGAGCTTTGCCTAGTGATTTCCCAAAACGTCCTCTCCTACCACGAAGGGCATTCTATGCTGGGAAACATTGCTTCCTAAAGGCAGCCTTGGGAACCACAATGGTAGTAACACAGTTCAAGAGGGAAAGAGACCTGTCTAATCAAGGAGAATCACAAATACAGGCAAGCTTGTCACCCCAGCCGCTCAGGACCAAGGTAAGAAGATTACAAATTCAAGTCCAGCCTAAGAAATTTAACAAGGCAAATAGTATATACCTTTAATCCCAGCACTAGCAAGGCAGAGGTAGACAAGTATCTGTGAGGCCAGCCTGGTCTACATATCAAATTCCAGGACAGACAGAGCTACATATTAAGACCCTGTCTCAAAAAGGGGGGGGGGGCTATACACCTTTAATCCCAACACTCGAGAGGCAGAGGCAGAGCCTCTGTATTTGAGGTTAGCCTGGTCCACAGAGCAAGTTCTAGGATAACTGGGCTACACAGAGGAATTTCATCTTAAGGAAAGTTAAAAAGGGGCAAGGGACTGGGAATGAAACTCAGCAGTAGAGCCCTACTCAGTGCATGTGAACCTTATTATGAAGAGAGTAACAAAACGAAAACTTCAGGCAAGCTGGAGCGCCCATCCCTAAGAGGTAGAGCACAGATGCTCAATGTTTTCACTTTTAAACTACCCAGGTGGACTTCAAGTAGAACAAAGAGAAAATGAGTGGGCCGAGTATGCAGCCGTGCACGGGCATGGAAGAGCTAAGACAGGGTGCCCACAGGGACCCAGAAAGTTCCCTGTCTCCTCACCCCTGATGGGGTCCCTACCTCCACCGTGTGGACTCTGATTTCAGCATTATCTTTCTCTGCTTTCAGCTCAAGCTCAACATTTAAGAGGGCAATCTTGGGGTCCTTATACTTCTTGGGCTGCATTTCAAACCCAGCATAAGAGAAAGTCTTCTTGAATGCGACACCGGCCACCAGCTGAGACTCCTGGTTAAAGACGAGACATGCAATGATTTGGTTACAGCCAGAAATCCAGTCCATCCATGAGCCCAGAAGAGTGAACCCCACTTCCCACTACTGTGGTAGTCTTGTCATCATCACCGCAAACTCTGGGACAAAGCCACCTTTCTTTAAATGACACAGAATGTATTTTAGTTGCCCCTTTAAGGTGAGATATCATTCAATCTGTAGAGAGACAAGCATGGTAAAGGGTATCTGGGCTGTGCTTTATAGCTGGGTTGGGATCAGAGAATAAGAATAAACAAATGGGAGGAAAGATAACAGTGACTACTGTTACTGTGGCCCTGCTATAGCCTTGGTCTAGGCGTGCAGGCTTCACATAGTTACAGGAACGTCACGTCACCCTGCAACACAAAGGATGGATCCTAAGCAATCAAGATAGAAGATGGCTGACACTCACCCTTACTGCCACACCCACCAGGCTCTTAACATGGGCTGTGGTGACCCAGCAGACTCCAGTCCCCAGGCTTGTGAAGCAAGTGATTTACACACTGAGCCATCTCTCAGTTTTCCAGTTTTCTCTACCTAATGTTTTGAGACAGAGCCTTTCCTCTGAACCAAAGCACCACACTTCAGCTGAATGGCTGGCAGGGAGCCTGGTTATCTTTTGTACAGGGTTGGGATACTAAGGTTCCCAACCTTAAGATGGATAAGGAGCCATCTTATCAGCCACTTTAGGAATTTCACAAAGGCCAAGCACAGTGCTATAAGCCTATCATCCCAGTCATCCAGGAAGCAGAGACTGGAAAATTACAAGTCTGAGGCCAGGCTGAACTAGTAGTGAGATCCTATCTCAAACCAAACAAGAGTTTTAGGGCTGGACCTGTACGTGCACACTTTTAACTTTTAACCCCAGCTCCGGGGAGTCAGAGGCAGCTGATGACTGAGTTTGAGGACAGACTGGTCACACACACACACATGTAATCTTAAACAAATAAACAAATAACAACAACAACATCAACAACACACAAAAACAAAAACCAGAGTTTTTCCGTGAATTTGATGAAATGCTGGACACTCCAGGAACAGAAGTGTCCCAGATAAAGTTATTAGGCCTGGGGCACACTGCAGCATTACAACACTAAGTAGCATATCCATGGTCCCGTTCATCCCCTCCACCCAGAAGATGCGAGAGTTTTCCTAGACAAGTGGCTTACAGACTACAAGAAGCACAACGATAAAAAAAAAATAATAATAATAATAATAAAAACAAAAGTACAGTAGGCCAGATATGGAAAGCACAAAAACAGCACAGATAAACTAATGTCAAAAAATGTTTCCAGATAGTTGTCCCTGTGTTAAAAATAAATCAGAGCTATTCAGTCCAATACAGCAGACACCAATCACATGTTGCTATTTAAATAAAAACAGATTCAATTTAAAATTCAATTTCTTTGTTACATTAGCTGTTATTTTCAGTGTTCAGACATGGAAAGGGCTATTGTTCAACAGAAGGATGTACTGGATAGTACAAGTTAGGGGTTATCAATGCTAACATGGACCAATTGCTACAAAAGTGCTAAATGTACAAAACAAAACCACACTACAGAACACCAATATGCATCAGAAGCAACCACTGGTATTATTATGGCATGCATGCACACACAGTGTGTATACAGAGTTCTAGGTTACTCTATGTGAGTGGCAACAATGGCTACCTAAGGGGTAGAGGGGTAATGGGACAATTAATCTTAAGCTCCCGTTATGGTTTAAACTATAAAGAGAAATTAATACAAGGGGAAGTTTGGCAGTAGCCCTTAAGAGTGGACTGCTGAATACCGCTAGGATTTATCTTTGGAGAATTCTCAAGTAATTTATCCAAACCAATCTTTCCAAAAACCCTGAAACCGATACAGAGAAAAAGGGTTCTGAATGGCCCAGGTCCACTCTCCCACTCTGATGATAAACAACCCGAAGACGGCAGGCAGCATGGACTAAGTGGTCACATCGGCCCGGCCGCCTTACCTGCGTGCCCCTTGCCCACGCTGTGAACTCTGCTCCCACATGAAGTTGTTGCTGTCTAGGGAGGACACAACAGGCTCACCTCTAGGGCTCCACCCTGAACTTTCTTGATGCCAATCATTTTAAGCTGCAGCAACTCATCAAGCATCATCACAGCATCAACCACCGTCTTGGCGAAGAAGGCCTTCTGCTGAGAGATCAGCTTGGAGCTCAGGGCTGTCATTGCACACTTTTCCAGCATCTTCCTCTGCTCTCTGCAGCACAGGGCACAACTGGTGTTGAGCTTACAGCACAGGAATGGTACATTCCAAACAATACTCTACATGTTAGCCATTAGACAGTACGGCAGAAATGCACATTTGACAACAGCAAGTATCAAACCCATCATTTAAATAAAAACCTACCTTAGCAGCGGTACATACACACCACCCCATTACTTTCCCTTTAGCTCAAAATGCAACACCCACCCCTCTTCATCTTTCTCCTTTTCTATCGTTAGGGTGGGTTATTGGCAACTGACAGCCGATGTAATCACCCACACCCCACCCGCCTCAGTGCCGGCTCTTCCATGCTGCACAGCCCAGGGTCCGAAAGAAACAAAGAGCCTCCTGCCCGTACAGACACTACAACATGCTGACATACCAGCTTGGCCACACGCTATCACGACTCTGACAAAGCCCATGGGAAACTTACACTTTATCTTGTTTCTTCACAGTCACAGCAATTTCTTTGATTTTGTTAACAGCCTGCCAAAAACACAAGTTGAGTGAATCTCACATTAAACACAGGGCAGTGGAGTGGATCCAAAGCGGCAAGCAAGATCATAAGCGTTTCTCCTGGGCCTGTAGCTGCCTGGGAAAACGTAAAGCTCTGCCACCTCGAAAACTCTCAGAAAGATTGGGCAGGAATAGTGTTCTGAAGAATTATCGGGTATTTCTAGGACTTGTCTCTGGGACTGTCAATGGACTTGAAACTGACAGGCTTGCCAGGTTAGGTCAAACTCTGGTTTACAAGTGGACAACATTTAGCACTTGGTATATTGCAAGTCATAAGTAATATATAAACCAGTATTTTAAACCAGCAAATCCCCTGCCAAAGCATTCCTTACATGTGACCTGATTTCAGTGTCAGCACTGGGAGAACAGAAAAGGAGAGAAAGGCCCACGGAGATTAAGTGACACGTCACAAGTCACACTATGAGAACTCAACAGTACAAACCGCAAGCTACTATGAGGTACCTGCTAAGAAACCAAATTGTACCCTATCTCACAAACCTTAAAAAAAAAAAAAAAAAGAAAAAGCATGAAAACTGTTCTGAGCCAGGTATACTGGCACACACTTGCAATCCTGCACTCGGGTGGCGGTGGGAGGAACAAACAAATCCAAGGCCAGCTTAGGCTACATGAAAAAGTAAATAAATATAGATCGTATTTAATACATATGTCCCTATTTTGTACACTCTAAATAATTAAAAACAGCTCTCATTTATAAAGAGCCTATGTCTACAAAATAGTCTATCAGGCTGATGCCAACCTGAGGCTTAGTCAGTCTCATCAAACAGCTACTGAAGGGTAGAGGTCTGGAAATGTCCACATAGCTGTACTCTGTGTGGTCCCTTCATACCCAGGAAAGGCATTTCCCAACAGAAATGTGAAGGAGCCTAGGTGTAAGGTCAAGTGAGTCCACGTAGCCCATACCAATTGGGTGGCTGTGCGGAACGCTCGGATGATAATCTGAGGGTGCAAGCCTTCCTCCACGTAGGGCTTCACCTGCTTCAGAAACTCAGCAGCCAGCAGGGTCACTGAGGTGGTGCCATCACCAACCTGGAAGAAGATGGCAAGAACACATGTTTTCTGCTATTCAGGGAATGAATAAATTGGGAGCTTGGTGAGGAGTAGAAGGGGATACGGGAGTTGGGAACGGACGTGAGGAGGAGAACATGAGAGAACAGGATGGTAATACTGGGGAAAGACAGAGAAGAACGGCAGGATAGAAACACTTTGTCTAATAGCCAGCTCTAAGAGAGCCAGAACTACAGAGGGACCCTATCTCAAAAAACAAAAATAAAAAATTTAAAAAGTTTTATACTGTAACTATTTTTATAAGTATGAAATACTTAACTAAATAAACAAAATAAAATCTCCAGTGGAAAGTATGAAGCACCGAAGGAGGCACTGTGTTCCAGCCTCCACTTAAATTTAATTTTCTATGACCGACTTTCTTACCTCGGCATCTTGGGATTTGGCAATGTCTACTAAAGTCTTTGCTGCAGGATGGACAACATCAAGGAGTTTCAGAATTGTGGCCCCATCATTAGAAATTGTAGCTTTGCCTTAAGAGAGAAAACAGTAACAATTAAACCCTGTTTCTTAATTCTATTTACTGAACCTGGACTCTACATACACCTTTTCTTGGAATTGGGACATAGCACAACATTCAGTTTGAGAATAGCCTGGGCTACACTGTCTCAAAGTAAGAGTAACCACTTAAGATAGTTTGGACACAATGGATATTATAACATCTCATGACAGTACAATACAGCTTTAAAAAAAGACTTAGGCCAGAAGAGGGCACCAGATCTCATTACAGATGGTAGTGAGCCACCATGTGGCTGCTGGGAATTGAACTCAGGACCTCTAGAAGAACAGCCGGTGCTGTTAACCTCTGAGCCATCTCTCAGCTTAATGGGCATTTTTTTCTTTCTGTGTTAGCAGCATGTTACAATGGGAGAGGACCCAGAGTATAGCAGTGTTTTTTTATTTCCAGTTTTAATTATGTACGTATGGGTATATGTATGCATGCATGCACACAGCTCCCTCAGGGGATTGGAAATTCAGAGGCAGCTATGAGCTGCCTGACATAGGTGTTAAGAACTAAACTCAGGTTACCTTAAAGAACAGCAGGCTCTCCTAACCACCGAGGCATCTTTCTCCCTTAGCCCCCAGTTTGTTCTATTTATGTCTCTAAGTCATACTTTCCTAGAAAGCAATAGACTCCTGAGCCCAGGTTCTCCTACAGATACCCACAGGATCCTGCAATTAATTCCTTAGAAGATCCTACAATCAATGGGATTTCTGATGGCAACCCTAACCCCAAATATCCCCCAGGCACACTTCTTCTCCTCTGCAAATCCCAAGAAGCCATGAAGACTTACCTCGACCATCCACAATAAGCTTGTCCATGCCACGGGGACCCAGTGTGGTTCTTACAGCCTCAGCAATCACTTGGCAGGCACTGATGTTACTCACAAGCTGAGGGATGCCTTGGGAGCTATCAGTCCCCTCTTTCAACAGGATAACTGGTGTGGGCTGGAGAAGAGAGAGCAAATGACTGCTTTTCATCATCGTCTGCTATTTGCTCCTCACAGGACAGTGGGCAGGGAAGGTACTCCCAATTCCACACTGACTTCACACCAAAACGCTGTCACCTCTAATACCCACTCCCAAATGCCTCCATGTGACTCAAGAGTAATTTTTGCCTCTCTTTAGCATTGGCCCAGAAGGGCCACCATCCCTGCATGGGCAGTCTTTACGTAACTACTGTAGAAGCTGTAAGTGAGAAGATAAGAGTGCTGCCTGTTCAGAGGCCTGCTGCGAGACTGCGAGGCTGCACTGCTTAGTTCTTTGCTAACACAAGCCAGGGTCAGTTGAGAAGAGCAATAGCAACTGAGGGAAGCCACCATCAGACTGGCCTAAATGTCTCTGGGGCATTTTCTTGATTGAGAGCCCAGGCCACTGGGGCTGGTGCCAGCCCATGAGCAGGTGGTCCCAGGTCTTGTTAAGGAAGCGGGCTGAGCAAGGCATGAGGAACAAGATAGTCTGCAATGTCCCTCCACATCCTCTGCTTCAGCTCCTGTGCTGTCTTCCCTTTATGGTGGACTGCAAACTGGAAGGCGAAGGAAACCCCACCCTCAAGTTGCTTCCATCATTGTGGTGGTTTGCATGAGAAAGCCCCCCCCCCCCCCCCCCCGTGGGCTCATGTTTTAATGCTTTGTCTGTTAGTGGAACTGCCCGGGGAAGACTAGTAGATGTGTCAAAAGTCCAAACCAGGCCTAGCGTCTCTCTTCCTGCTTACTGCCTGTGGATCAGGATACAGCTACTTCTCCAGGGCTATGCCTGCCGCCATGATCCTCACCATGATGATGATGGACTAATCCTCCGAAGCTGTAAGCAAGCCTCCAATTAAATGTTTTCTTCTATAAGTTGCCTTGGTCATGATGTCTTTTTGCAGCAATAGAACAGTAACTAATATAGTTATGGTGTTAATAACAGCAACAGAAACCTAACCAGGATAGGTATCTTTTCTCCAGTGTTCAAGAAATAGCTCGGACACTGGACTAGCTGGCAAACCAGAGCACCCTATATCTAAACCTGAGCCTTCAGGAGTAAGTGGTGAACCAGGTCATCTTCTCAGTACCGGACTAACCCTGCATGTAGGAGTAATTGGGGGGACCACCATCTCAGCATATTCACGCTTTGTTAGTAACTTCAACTGGAATTTACACAATGCAATAAAAATGTTGAATGCCACTGTCCCCTTGCTCACTTCAGATACTGAGAAGGAAAAGTACAAGACTGTTCCCATCTAAAAATAAGGAGCAAAGGAGTCACATTCCGGAGTCTAGTAATCCATGAGCTTAAATCCACAATAACTGAGAAACTCCTTTGGCTAGAACATCGTATGGCCAGTAAAGATGATGCCCAGAATAAAGCTGAAGAGTTGGGCAGGAAGTTAATCATACACACTTGAGATCAGCCACAGCAAGTTCAGGCTGTATTCCTACTTAAAATGCTCTGGAAGCACACACTGTGATTCAACTTAAGTCATTACCGGAACAACAGGAGGCAAGACACACGCAAGTGTATAAAGTCTGGAATTAATGAATAGTTTAACACAACACTCAATACATTTTTAAAAATATCTGGCAGATGATGGTGGCATATACCTTTAATCCCAGCACTGGAGAGGCAGATGCAGGAGGATCTCTGTGAGTTTGAGGCCAGAATGGTCTATAAAGGGAGTTCTAGGGCTACACAGAGAAACCATCTCAGAAAAGGAAAAAAAAAAAAAAAAAAAAAAAAAAATCTGTTACAGGACACAGAGGTGCATACACTACTGGGTTGAGGCAGTATGATCATTTCATGTTCTAGGCCTGCTTGGGCTACATGAGACCCTGTCTCAAAAAGAAAGAGAAACAAATAATTCACAAAGCAAAGAAACTGCATCAAACGTTGAGAGTGGGAGCTGCATAAATGGCCCTGGCCCAGCAATCAGGAGTGCACCACACTGCTCTTACAGAGGACCCGAGCTTGGATTCCAGCACCCATATCACATGGCTCACACCCACCTATCATTAAAGCTGCATGGCCTCCACGGGCACCCACACTCATATGTATATACCCACACACAAACACACAACATATGCAATTATAAGTAAATCCTTACAAAGGTTGTTTGCAGCAGTAAACCAAAAACCCAACAAAGCATGGGCTACATTTCAAAGAGCCCTCAGAGCAAAGCTGGCTAAAATTGAAGGAGAAACATTTCAATACAACCACAGAGGCAGCTCATGACCACCAGCACTACAAACGTACTCAGAGAACTGACTACAAGAGGAGAACATTTCCTAATTTGAGTCTTTCTATTGACACATGCCATGTTTTGTTTTGGTCAGGAACCCAGAAGCAGGAGCTGATGCAGATGCCATGAAAAAAATGAGCATATTGGCTTGTTCATCCAGCTTTCTTACCGAACCCAAGACCACAGCCCATAAAGGGCTGACCCTTTCTATGTCGATCATGAAGAAAACCTGCAGGACTGCCTGCAGCCCACTCTTAAGGAGGTACTTTCTCACTTGGGGATCCCCCCCTCAAATGACTCTAGCTTGTCTCAAGCTGACATAAGAATAGGCAGGACTGGGGGCTAGAGAAATGGCAGCAGTTTAAAAGCATTGACTTCTTCCAGAGAACCCAGGTTCAAATCCCAGCACCCATGTGGCAACTCACAACTTCAAGATCTGACAGCCTCACACAGAAATACATGCAGGCAAAACACTGATGCACATAAAATAACAAAAATAAATACATTATAAAAACCTAGCCAGAACAATCGTGAACGCTAACTGCAAAGAACTCTAAGCTAGCAAGCTCAAAACTTTAGCAAAGCTACAAGTCGGCAATAAAGTCCCACCTGCACCAACAAGGACAGTCAGGCCAGATGTCTTTAACACAGGCAGCTAACAAGAGGGTCAGCAAACACCCCAGGGGGCCTAGATAAGTTTCCAGGCAAAAGATTTCGTGTCTACCAACTGGCTCGGGGTAATGCCCAGGATGGGAAACTAAGGCAAAAGAAAAGAGGAACACCGGTCAAAAAAATATCCATAGCTGTTTGGGCAGCATGACAAACTTGAGCAAGCAACACAGGGAGGAGCGCACACTTTGTACCACGAGCTGCAGGAATTCACTGTGCTAAATAAAACCTGCTCAGACCGAGTCCTCCAAGTCCACTACAACCACCGTCATGAGGCAGTGGCAGCTACTGTTGCTTACAATTACACAGAACAGACCCTGCTCCAGCTCCAAGTCCCCAACACACCTACGGCCAGTCAATTCACGCCACGTCTCCTGATCCCTGTTCACACTGCAGTCAGAGATCCCACTGTCACAGAGTATCAGTCAGGGGCTTCAGAGAGTTGCAAGTTTCTGCAATCATGTGGATTCCCTGATCGATGTCCCGTGTGGGCTGGACACACAGGCGGCTTTTAGTGAGAGGGTGGGGTACTCTTAGCTTTCCTTCTCTGTGCTGAGAATTCCCTCTTCACGGCAGCCCATCTCCTCAACGGGCAGGCACCACAGGTCTCAATGTTCCTTGCTAAGTGCAGACCCCCTTCGCCCCGTTGTTGAACCCTTCTGTGCCTGTTATGCCAGGGAGTCTCACTCTATGTAGTAGAGGATGGGCTATCTCCTCCCTGCCTCTCAACTCCAGCAGGGTCAGATGGAGACGATGACCTTGGTGAGCCTCTGCTCCCAGCTTCTTCTTTTCCCTTTCTTAAAGGCTAGGCTTACTAGACCATATTTTTAAAAGTATAATTTTCAAGGAAACAGAATACTATTCAATTTTTTGTTAGGTTATTTCGTGAACATTTTTTGAACCATACTCGAAATCCCCTGCGAGCAACACAGGTACATAAGCTACAGGTCAATGGCAAGACACATGGCAACATAACCACCAGGGACAGTAGATCAGAAACCTGCCTCGCTGCATCCCAGACCCACTCAAACAGGCCCTGAACTTCATTTAGAAGGAACCCTAAACCCTGAAAACACTACAGTTCACATGTGCAAAACCAAAGGGTCTATAATTGAGTCTAGACTGGTAAATGGTATACATATTTATCAGTCTCAGACATGTTTAAATAAAGCATGGTTTCTGCCCAACATGGCAGACAGGGGATCCACAACAGGCATAGTGGTCAGCAAAAAGAAATTGCCTGGGGTTAAGGAGATGGCTCAGCAATTAAAAGTACTGTGTGCTCTTCAGAAGACTGGAGTTTGATTTTGCATCTAAAAGACAGCTCATAACCACCTGTAATCCCTTTAGACTCTATAGGTACCAGACATGCAAGTGATTCACACACCTGCACGCCTTTGGTCCCAGCACCTGGGAGGCAGAGGCAGGCAGATCTCTGTGAGTTGGAGGCCAGCCTGGTCTACAGAGCTAGTTCCAAGACAGGCTCCTAAGTAATACAGAGAAACCCTGTCTCGAAAAAACAAACAAACAAACAAACAACCCCCCCCAAAATAAAAACAAAAAAGTTTAAAAAGAAAACTATTCAAGAAAGACATTAGCAGTCCAATGAGACAGAAATGAAGATGCACTCAGGACCACACACTGCTTCCTAACTTGGTTAGAGAAGCATTATCTTTTAGTGAATGAAAACAACAGTACCAGGTGCTGGCCTCAAAATTGTATGCACAAGTCACAGAATCTACAAGACAGCTATAAGCCAATAAAGACCAATTTTTTCTTTATGTCCTCACCCACCCGCCAGGCTTTCTCTCTATAGCCCTGGCTGTCCTGGATCTCACCCTATATATAGGCCAGGGCTGCCTCTGCCTCCTGGGTGCAGGATTAAAGGAGTGCACCACCACTGCCAGGTTCAAAGTAAATGACTAGTTGTAGACAAACAGACTTTCAAATGGAAGAGAAGGTAAAAATAGTAATAAATGAAGTCATATTGGTCTAAGAAAAGGTATCAGGAGTAAAATGTAAATAGATTTGAGGCTGGAGCAATGGCTCAGCTGTTAGGAGGGCTTCCTGCTCTCTCTGAGGACAGGGAGTTTGATTCCCAATACCACAACCATCTGTAACTCCAGCCCCAAGAGCGAATTCAATGCCTTCTTCTGGCCACAGAGATAGCCACATGAATGAATGAAAGAATGAATACATACATACATACTCACACACACACCTAAAAAACAAAACAAAAGATTTGAAATAAATACTTTAAAAATATACATCAATCCACTAAGACTGGTCATGTAAAATAGGAAGAGATCCAGGACAGGACAGCCTGGGATACACAAAGAAATGCCTCCAAAGGGGAAGGGGGGGATGCTCCAAAAAGGTTTTATTTTAGTTTACAAATCCAGGTTATAGCCAGCGACTTAGTGGAGGTGGGGTGCCAAGTAAGCCGAAGCAGCTGCTCAAGAACAGAGAGAGATGAACACATGCATGCTGTTCATCTGCTAGAGCTCAGCTCGCTTTCTCCCTTTGCTCAGGGATTGGTGTCACCCATAGTGGGCTGGGTCTTCCCATACCAATTAAAGCAACCCAAACAATCAACTCCCCAGAGACCAACCTAATCTAGACAATCTCTCATTGAGACTCTCTTCCCTGGTGTCAAGCTGACAAAACTAATTTCCACAGTGGGCTACACCTGGAATTCCAGATAAGCCTTGAGCTACAAAAGAGAGTCTGCTGTTAAAAAAAAAAAAGTCTCAGGGGGCTGAAGAGATGGCTCAGCGGTTCTTCCAGAGGTCCCAGCAACTACATAGTGGCTCACAACTGTCTATAATGGGGTCTGATGCCCTTTTCTGGCATGCAGGGATACAGGGACAGAGCATTCATACCTTTAAAAAAAATTAATTAAAATTTGAAATAAAAAAAGTCTAGCTATAGCTAAGGGGTAGAAAAAGCAAATGAGGTCTTAGGTTCAACCCCCAGTACCTGAAACAATAAAAACAAAGCCACTACCGTTAGATTTAATGTTCTGTACAAGACCAGCTCTCTGTGTATGTCTGTGTGTGTATGTGAGAGAGAGAAGATACACAACTTAATGCCAGAAAGACAATAGATATACTAAAGCCTTGTAGACTACCCGAGACCAGTATGTTGACAGCATGGTGGACTCACATTTTAAAAAAGGGAGATACCTAGCAGGCAAACAAGCGAATTGGATACAGCAAGAGCAAGCAATCCAGACAAAGGATTGACGCTGAAAAGCAAAAATTAGCGTGTGAACTGATGCCGAGTGAGTGCACAGGATTCTGAAACTGACGGTGCTCGGTGATGTGGGACAGCTACAGGCACACCGTTCAGAGACTGCCATCTCCGCTGCCGTGCACCGCAACCGTCCCGCTATCCAGCCCAGCGCGAACGAACGAACGAACGAACGGGTTCTAACAGTTCCCGGTGTGCGGCAGCCGGGCTTGGGGACGCAAGCGGCCAGTGCCATGCCTGCAGGGCGCCACTCGGCCCGGCCCAAGGGTCCTCAGGCCGCCTGGGCGCTGTCTACACGCTCCCGGCCGGGGCGGCGGAGCGTGCCCCCGGTCCCGGGAACCCACATCTCCACTACGGGGAGAGCGGCCGAAGGAGGGAGGGAGGGCCCCGGCCCGAATCACCGCGAGGCCCCGTCGTCTCCGGGCCCGGTGGAGCCGCTAGCCCCAGTCGGCGGTCGTCAACCGCCCCGGCTCCGGGCCGTGGCCGCCCACAGGCAGGGAGGCCGGCGCGGGCGCTGCGGCCGCGGATGGCGGCGGATGCGCCGGGGGCCACTCACACTCACCATCATCTTGGAAGCCGCCTCGGGAGCCCGCTACGCTCGTCCGTGCTCGGCCTCGGAACCGCCCACCCAGGCCCACAATGCTCCGCGCCGGAGAAGCACCCGGAAGTTTCCGGCTGGACGTAGGCCGGGGGAGAGGAAAGGGACGGACCACTTCCGCCGCCACTCTATGGTTAGCTACAAATAAAAGTGGCCGGCTAGAGTAGCCGGAGGCCGCGCCCCCGCCCCCCCCCCGTGCAGGGACGCTCTAGGAACTCGCACTTGCTATGGGGGTCACCGAGTTCCACGCGCTTTTTGCTGGGAGGGCGTGGCGGCCGGGTCCCGCGCCCCGACGGCGCGATCCACGCGGGGTGCAAAGCCGCCCCGGGACGCCGGGCCCTGCACCCACGCAGCCCCGTGGCGCTGAGGCGTCCCGGGTCCCAGGTGTGCAGCCCGCGGGCGCGGGAAACCCGTCAGGGCGGCCGAGGCTGCGCCCTGCGGCCCGGGAAGGCGCAGAGAAGCGGGCCGCCGGCCTCCGACGGGGAGCGCACCCGACCCGGCCGCTACACACACGGGAGCGCGGGGCGGGCGCCAGCCGCGGCCGCGATCAGGAGTTTCGGCGAATCGGCTCCCGGCCCCACTCGTCCTGGCCAATAGGAAGTAGCCTGGGGCGCAGGGGCGGGAAGTGCGGCCCCACGAGCAGGCGCGCCAGCCAATCAGCCGCCGGCCTCGGTTCCGCGCTCCAACCCGCGCCGAGAGCGGGCCTGGCGGAGGCCGGGGCAGCTGTCAGGGTGAAGTCCGGCTGGCGAGCGGCGAGCAGCGAGCGCGGCGGGAGCGGGCCTGGAGATGAGCCGTGGCGCCACGGGCTGGTGCTGTCTCGTGCTCTGGCTGCCCGCGTGCGTCGCGGTCCACGGTGAGCGGCGTCGGGCGGGCGGGCGGGCTGGAGAGCCAGCGTGCGCACTGCTCGGGCCGGGGGCCACGGGTCACCTTGGGGACCCCGCGAGTTTGGGCCGGCCAGGTCCTGGGGCCAGACGGCTGTCGTAGGTGGGTGTGGGTCCCCGGGGCCATGAGTAGGGGCAGCCCGAGGCTCCCCACGTCGAAGCAAGATCCTCCAGCCCTCCTCCTACTGAGGGCGACCCAGGTGACAGCTAGAGATCCAGAATGGAGAAATGCTAGCGTTCATATAGGCAGGAACACACACGTGGGCTCACACGCACGGGCACCCACTTACACAACTCGCACATAAATGTACACACCTACGCGCTAAGTGAACACATGTATATACCCGAAGAGAGGAGCACACCAAATGCCAGACGAGCTTGCTTCTTTAAAAAGGTTGCCTTGTGTTAATCTAGAAGGCTTCCTTGGGGGTGTATCCATCTGATGGAGTGTACCTACACTCAGGACAAAAACTGCAAGACCCCAGAGCTGTGTCTGGATGGTGTGATTTGAACCACAGACAGGAACAGCTATAACCACAGCCAGTAGCAACAACACACATAGTGATAACCTGGTTGAATTGACTAACAGACTTCCATCCATCAACATTCATCTCTCTGGGCTTAAGGAATCTGGGGACTCAAATCCCAGGAAAACATCAAACTTCGATGCTGAGAAGTTTCTGTATCCTAGCAAACCCCTGGTTGTTCTGTTGTTCAGGACAGCATAGCTGGGCAGTTGTTCCTTCATTTAATAACCTTTGCTGAGCAGCCTCAGTGTCGCGCGCGGGCACTGGGGACTCGTCACTGAGTGAAGTCTCACACTTACAATCAACACTGTAGTGGAAGAAACATAGAGTATCATAAGTACACCATAATTAAAGAAGTATTAGCCAGAAGAAAGTGCATTTTGAACCGATATAGGGAGGGACAAGGCAACATCTTTCTGAGAAATGACAGGTAAACTTTTAGGAAGACCCCAAAAAGCTGAAAACACCGAAAAGCCAGTACAGCTTGAACTTGGGGAAGCGGAGACAAAGTTGGAGCAGGGTGGGAGTCGGGTCTGCAGTGAGCAGCAGGGTACACTGTAGTCAGTGAAGGGGACACCAAGGCTCTGACAGGGAGTGGGTGGCAGCAGGACCTCAAGCAGGACAGCGGAGAGGAGGAGACGAAGAGATAGCTCAGCAGTTCACAGTACTGGATCTTCCAGAGGGCCCACTCACAACTGTGTGTCCCTTCAGTTCCAGGGAGCTGATACCTCTGTCTAGACTCCGTAGGCACCAGGACGGACACACACACACACACACACACACACACACACACACACACACACGTGCATGCACCCCTTCTGAAAAAGGAGTCATGGAAGGGAGACCAGTTAAGCTCAGTCAGGACAAGAGATGACAATGACTGTACTGGGAGATGGCCGTGAGCCCAGAGTTAACTTGTCAGTTCTGGTCAGAAACTTGAGGCTTCCCTATCCACTCTGAAACTCAGGTCTTCAGAGCACGGGAGGATGTTAACCCAAGAGCTGGGCCTTTGTGGCTCGCCTGCCGTGTCCAGTCTGTCCTGCCCAGTGCAGAAACCAGGTCTCCAGCTGGGCCTGGTGATGCATGCCTGTATGAGAGGCAGTCAGGAGAAAGGGTTCAAGGCCCAGCAAGGAAACGGAACTAGTTCAAAGCCAGCCTGGGCTGTGTGATTTGCCAGAGTAGTACACACCTTTTACTGCAACACTAGTTGGGAGGGGCCAGCGTGGGGGGGGGGGGGCAGAAGCAATTGGATCTGTTTGAGGCCAGCCAGGCTACATAGGGAAACACGGATTCAAAAGTAACTAACCAACTTTTCATGTTCCCGAGGATCCAATAAGTTGGTGGGCCCAGACCACCGTCCACCCAGTTGAAGACATAGGGTATCCCATGATCCACACCTGAACCAGCTTGTTCCTAAGAGGCTTTTCTTCTGTACTCTTTCTGTTAGGCTTACGTATCCATGACTACTTGTACTTCCAAGTGCTGAGTCCTGGGGACATTCGCTACATCTTTACAGCCACACCTGCCAAGGACTTCGGCGGTATATTTGTAAGTTCAAAGATGCTCACATCTCTGACACCCCCCCCCCCTGTAGCCATCACTGAGCCATGGTGACCCTCATCCCACTTTTATGCTGGGACAGGGCAGGGAGCAGAATTCTGCCATGCCCTCCAGGAGCTGCTGCATACTGTAAACCAGGGAGGGACTGCCTTCATTGGTGGAAACTACCTGAAAAGCCAAGGCACCAGCTTTCTCTGTCAGCCCTGGCTACTACTCCTGTCCCTGGATTATAACCAGCCACAGGGAAAGCACTCCATTTTCTTCCTTCACTGGCCATGAGGCCCCAGAAAGATGGGATTGTTAGCTTGTTCCAAAGCCGTGGTTTCCTACACTCTCACTTGTCCAAATGTCTACATGTTTCCCAGCACACACGGTATGAACAGATTCACCTCGTTCCTGCCGAACCTCCAGAGGCCTGCGGGGAACTCAGCAACGGCTTCTTCATCCAGGACCAGATCGCTCTGGTGGAAAGGGGGTAAGGAGTGGGCAGGCATGACACATGGGGAGGGCAGATTCTGATCACAGCCCACGGTACCTTAAAATGCCGATTTTTAAGTAATTCATCCCTTACAGGTCTTTACGAAATGTCTTGTCTACTCTCTGCTCTGTACTGTCGACCCTCAATACAAGTTCTCTGTGGTCCCTTCATTCTCCCACAGAGAGGATGTGAGGAAGGGCAGCTAGCACCTGCCTTTCTTTTGGTCCCATATGACACCACCTCTTCCAGGGGCTGCTCCTTCCTCTCCAAGACCAGGGTGGTACAGGAGCATGGCGGGCGGGCTGTGATCATCTCGGACAATGCAGTTGACAATGACAGTTTCTACGTGGAGATGATCCAGGACAGTACTCAACGCACAGCTGACATCCCTGCCCTCTTCCTGCTTGGCCGAGATGGGTGAGGGCTCTTTGCTTCTGGCTGTCCACACTAAACTGGGTGCATGACTTGGTGGGGTCAAAGGCAATTGCCAGTCCCCTCTCACAGACACTGTCTTGAAAGTCCCCAGGTTGTGGAAACTCCCAGAGTAACTGGGGCAGAGGGCAATGTTGGGGTGCTGAGAGAGTGACTGCCCTTCATGCCCTCCCAGCTACATGATCCGGCGCTCTCTGGAACAGCATGGGCTGCCATGGGCTGTCATCTCTATCCCGGTCAATGTCACCAGTGTCCCCACCTTTGAGCTCCTGCAGCCTCCCTGGACTCTCTGGTAGAACAGCTACAGGCGACTCACCAGGAAGAGGACACCTATGAGCCTGCCGTTTGGAGTTTGGAGAGAGACTCTGAGGACAAGTGGAGCCAGGGAGGGGACAGAGAAGCCACTCCACTGGCTTTCCCTTCCCTAGGGCCGGGAAGGACCTCTCATGCTCCAGTAAGAGGCAAGAACCAGACCCAAGGCTCTGGCTCCAGTCGGAGCAAATGGTGCGGAGGAGGCAGCCTGGTGGTCTGCAGTTTCCCGCAGTCTCAGCCTCCCACAGCCAGGACCTCCTCACAGTGACCCTGTAGCTGTTGCTGGAGTGCTTTAAAGAACTGGTGTTCTGGGCCTAAGGTCCCCTACATCTTAGCAATAAAGCTAAATAAAGCTCATGAGGTTTGTACGTGTCCTAAACTAACAGTGCTTGGGTGTGGTGAGACTCAGTTGTTTGGTCCTACATCACACTGCTGCTTTTACGGGAGTCTCACAGAAGGCCATTGGCGGCACAAGCCCAGTAGGATTAGTACAGACTGCTGTCGAGGACCAGCCCTCTGGGAAGAGGACTCCTGTACCCAGAGTCTGCAACTGAGACCCAACCTCAGAGACCCTCACTCTGCTCTAGTGATGTTTACACACCAGCATGGCTGACAGTATAAGCACTGAGAAACCTGGAGCATTCCCTGCCGCCCACTGGGCTGACCTGTGCCCTCTGCACCCGCCTTGACTACCGCAGGCTCAGAGTAGTCCACACAGCACTGCTGCAGAGGCCTATCATCACCACCCACATTTTATTGAGACCAGAGGGAGAGAGAGGTGTTGGCTGTTGTGAAGAGTATGCCCTACAGATGAGGCGGCCAGTCAGGCACGTTCCACCTGGCTCCACCTTGGAAAGAGCCTGTAGCATAGGCACTGGTCCTCCCTGGGAGGCCCCAGCAGGGCCATGTGCAGGCCTCTCAGGGAAAGATGGGGAGCAGTGGCTGTCATCTCCAAGATGCCCATCCCTGTGGCCAGGAGGGAACAAAGTCATGGCTCATGTCCAAGCATATGTCCAGTTCCTTCAGGGTTCCTCTATGGATATCCTGAAGGTGGATGTCTGAGATCAGATCCTTTGCTGGACCATTTCAGCTGGTCCCAGGGAAGAGTGGAGCATCCTCAATTAAGAGTGCAATCTTTCATCTGTGATACCGCTACAGTCCTGATGAAGATGGGCCTCTTCAAGACCGTATAGGGCTAGCCACCTTGCCTGAGCCTAAGAGGCAAGGCACAGTGATCTGGACCCTGGAGAGCAGTTAATCTCTACCTCCCCAGTGTCCGATGGGAACAACCCAACATGCCTGGCACAGTCTTTTGAAGTGTTCTGAAGGCCTAGACCGTTGTTCTTGCCTCTTGCTGGCAAGTGGCAGGCCATTACTTCAGCTGCAGCTGTGGCAGATGAGCCGAGAGGAAGAGGTAAGGCATGGCATCACCTCTTTCTGTCAAGGAAACCAGTCTGCTTTCAGATTGGCCATTTTGTTGTCCCCCTCAAAGTAACAGCCGGTCACGAGGGGCCAAGCCTTAGGTGGATGGGTGAGCATGGGCCACGGGGCCCAGAGGAAGACACTACGAGGCCTGGAGCTGTTCCAGTCTCACGGCTGCAGTGCAGCATGGCAGGGGAAGGTCAGGTCTACAAGGCTTGCTGATAGCACAGGACCCAAGCAGCTCAGCAGCAGTGCTCAGGGCCTGAGGTCTGGTGGGGGTGGTGCTCGGGTCCAGCCTCTCCTCAGCTCTGACAGGATGCCAGAAGGGAGAAGGCAGGCAATGGGTGCGAGGGGGAGGGGATGTTCCCTCCAACATCTGTGGAGGACAGATCCCCTTTTCCAGCAGGGTCTGGGCAGGGCCCCTTCCAGGCAGGGTAACATCACACGTCAGTCATCTCATCCCCTAGCTCTGCATCTTCGGGCTCTCCTTCCTCCTCCTCCTCCTCTTCTGAGGTCACACTGGGGTCATCAGCCTCTGCCAGGCATTTGGGACAGGAACAGATGAACAAGTAGTTCTCCCTTCAAAGTAAGGGGGACAAGTCAGGCAGCTGCTGGATGGAGGAGCCCAGAGCCCAACCATGTCCCCGGATGGCACCTGAGGATCTTGTGGCGGCTGTGGCGGCTACGCTCCCGCTGACAGCAGTCTAAGTAGCTGATACAGATTTCCTGTGGGTAGAGGAAGTTATGATTGCCGATGCCCTCCATCAGACAGGAAAAGAGCTCCCCCAACAGCCGCCTTATCTATTGTCAACCACTGTTCCTTGCCCAGAAGCTAAGTCTTCAATGCCTTCAACACGGAGCCATTTCCATGGCTCCAGCAGGCAAGACTCCCACCTGGATCTGAGACAGACAAAGATGGAGGTTGGCCTCAGACCCTGAGGGAAACCAGCCAGTAGCCAAATTCTGTTAATGGGACCAGAGGTTAATCTTGGTATGATATGGAGAAAATTTCAATAGGCTGTGGCCACCAACCAGGACCCTCAATCTACACTAACTCCTGTGGCTCAAGTCACAAAGAAATCACCTGGGCACACAGCTCTACTTCAATCTGAGGCTTTCTGAAGATGTCTGAAGAAGTGGGAGGGATTAGAGCATCCTCATGGGCAAAGACCCACGCCCTGGTGGCTGTGGTGACTCCCACCAGCCGAACAAAGGGGCTCCGGCTAGTTACTGCTGCTCCCTGGAGAGACACTGCAAGGCCCTAGGCCCACCCCTGCTGCCCAGTCCTCTTACCTCGCCTGGCTTAATATCTTCCAAGGCGGTAACATGCAAGAGGAAGTTGTTTTCTGGGAAGGAAGTCTCTGCATTGGGGACACAACTGTGGTTGCCTGGGTCACAAAAGACAGATAACAAGTGAAGTATGTGTATGTAGAACCCAAGATCTTGCACATACGAGGCAAGCATCCCACAACAGGTCTACACCCTCAGCCCTTAGTTTTGAATCAGGGTCAGACTGCCCTTGAATTTGTGATGTTCTTGCCTCTGACTCACAAGTACATGCCCAGCAATGAAAAGCAGGGTTTTGTTTGTTTGTTTGTTTGTTTTTAATGGTAATTCTAGCTGGGCAGTAATGGCACATACCTTTAATCCTAGCACTTGGGGAGCAAAGGCAGGCAGATCTCTGAGTTTGAGGCCAGCCTGGTCTACAGAGCCTGCTCCAAGACACCCAGAGACACACAGAGAAACCCTGTTTATGTTGGGGGGAGGCCAATAAACCAATGAAACAAAAATGCAATTATAGGGGCAGGCAGACGACTCAGCAGGAAAGGTGCTTGCTTCAAGCCTAACAACCTGAGTGTGATCCTAGAATCCACTTAGTACAGACAGAACTGACTCAGGCCTCCATATGCGTACCATAGCCTGTGTATATAAATAAAAGTTAAAAACAAAACAAAGCAGTGAGGTAGTACAACAAGCAAATATACAAAAATAAATGAAACCGGATTAATATTCTCAAGCCAAGCATAGTGGCTCACACCTGTAATCTCAACCTCCATGAGCCAGATAGGTGGATTTGCTGTAAGTTTGAGGCCAGACTGGACTACAGAATAAGTTCCACTCTAGTCAGGACTCAAGAGACCCTGTCTCAAAAAACAAAACAAAACAAAAAAAAGCTGGGCATGACATGTCTGTAGTCTCAGCACTTAGGAGGTGGAGCCAGGGGGATCAAGAGTTCAAAAATCATCCCTGGCTACATGGCAAGTTCAAGGTCAACCTGGGCTGCAGGAGACCCTGTCTCAAAACTTTATAAAACAAAACAAAAAAAAAAAAAAAAAAAAAAAACCACCAACACTACAGCCCCGGGTCACTTTCTTTGTGGTTTTACACTGCAGGGAAGAGCAGGTGTGAGACCTCATTTCCTGTCCTCGTACCTAGTGCTCTATCCTGAAGACCACAGTGCTGATACAATGTATCTTGTTTCACTGCCAGCTCCACCCCCAGCCCATAAAACTGACCACGTTTTCAGATACACCCCATTGTCTCACAAAAGGACATCAGCAATAAACCAGTTATTTCTGTCTGCTGATTTGGAACCCCTGACCACCAAACCTGGGAGCAGAGGTTATTTAGTAGTGAGGCGAGCAATAGGTGAGAAACTGGGATGTGGAAACGGAAGTGCTAAGGAGACACTCTGGCCCCCTCCCAAGATCCTATGGGCCTCAGGCTCTCCCAGTGCTTCTGAACCGCATCCCATAGGGCACTGGTGGTGCAATGCCTATGCCTCCCTTTGCAAGAAGCGGGGCTCAGTGCATCACACTTGCATGCACACGGCCCACCATAACTATCTACTAACACAAGCACAAGGCTGGGGATGAAGTCTTGGGTTTGGCTCCCAGTAACACCGGAAACAAACAAAAACAATGAATGGATGAAGGAAGAAAAGGGAGGGAGGGAGTGAATGCATGGATGGATGGAACTGATAGGGCAATAATTGCCAAGAGAATGCCCAAAGAAACACAGGCCTAACCCACTTGTCGACTTGGCCTGGTCAGCCCCCAAAGGGCAAACCGGGAAAAACCACCTGGTAAGGGCAGAAACACGTGGGCCCATTCCTCCCCAGTGCCGAGACTCACAGCAGCTTTGAAGCACAAAGAGACCGGATCCTTCACAGTTAAGGAACTCGCCAGTCGCTGTAAGACAGTAAAGATGCCAGTGGGAAAAGGAAAGTGAACTCACAAGAGCAGACAGCAGCTCGGCCGTCCCGCACTACTCCAGGCTCTAGCAGTTTACCTAAGCTTCTCTGGGGCCAGCCTTGCTGTTCTGCCGGCACCACTACCTTTTATCTGGCGCTCCCCCTCCCTCCTCCCAGCATGGAGCCTCCGGCATGTCCTGGGCGAGATCCGAAGCTTCCAGCGGGCACATTGGGGTTCTTGTCCCCTTCCATAAGCTTAGTGCTCCCTGGCAAGAGCTGGGTCTGCTACCTGACTAGGGAAGCTCCAAAGATGGGGAAAGCCACAGCCCCATCTCACTAACCTGCCTCAATGTCCTTGTACAACTGGTCAATGAAGGTGTCCAGCTGTTCCCGGTCCTGCGGCTTCAGCTCCAGAGAGTCACAGGCATGTACCCACTGGCTGAGGGAGCTGGAAGTCCCAGCAGCCCAGTCAGAAACAGACCAGGCCACAGCTCCCTGCCCTGTTCCCTTTCTAGAGTAAGGGCCCCAGATTCCCAAAAGAGCAGCAGATTCCCCTGCCGTATTCCTCCCGGCCAGGGCGGTGCAACACCCAATCCCACCCACCTGGAAAGTATCTGTGGCTACTTTCCTACGCTAACCTCCCAGCTGAACCCCGAGGGATTACCTAACAGGTCTAGACCATTTTTTCCTAACCTGGTTCCAATCCCTTGACCATTGGTCCCAACAAGAGCAAAGAGAGACCGGAATCCATCTGGTGTGAACCACTGTTGGAAGAGAGAAGTGAGCGTCGGGCTGTTCTTCCTAACCCAGCTCTGCAGTGGGAAGCTTCTGAGAGCTGGCCTCACTTAACTCCAGGCCTGGAGCACTGGAAGAAAGGCTTCAGGTCCCTTCCTCCGGCACTCACCTGGCTGAGAGTCTCCTCATACAGGGCCTCTGTGAAGAGTCTACGCAGAAGTTCCAGCTGGCCCTGGTTTAAGAGAAACAGAGGGATGCTTGCAGCCCTGGAGACTTCTCCTTAGTAACTACCAGGTAGGTGAGAAAAAAGCCAGCTATGCAGCCTAAGCCTTTTTCCTGGGGACTGAGGCAGCACTTATTTCCAGCTGTCTCAGAGCTCTAAGTGAGGGTGTGAACCCCAAGTTTCTTCCTGTTTCCAGTACTTGTTCCAGCAAGGCTGAGACAGCACCGACTTTAAAACATCCATCTTCACCCTCCCTTGGAGCTTCCCTTAGATTTGCTTAGCCTCTGATCAGTTTGGCTTTCTCCTTCTTTATTCTTTGTTGTTGGTCGTTTGTTTGAGACAGGGTTTCTCTGTATAACAGCCCTGGCTGTCCTGGAATTCACTCTGTAGACCAGGCTGGCCTCCAACTCACAAAGATCCCCTGACTCTGCCTCCTGAGTGCTAGGATTAAAGGCGTGTGCCACCACCTGGCCCTCCTTTTTTCTAGCTCTAGTGTAACCCTTTGAGACACATCCTCCCACGGCTGTAAACCCACCCTCTTGGACAGTCTCTAGCCACTAGTAGCCTCCCCACTTCGTCAGCTCCGAAGGAAGGCTGAGTCCTGTGTCTTATTCTCACCACAGGAATTTCACGCCACTCCCTGACCTGAGGACCCCCAGCCCTCCATTCTCCAGAAACCCTGATGTGCCTACTACTGCTGCCCCTCAGGAGGCTTGCCTTCCCACATGGCGCACCCGACGAGCACTCTAGGGTAGGACATGCAACCCCTCTCCCCTACTTTCAATCTCTGGTCTGTGTTAGGTTACAAAGGTAAATGGGGCCAGGAACACATTATTAAAGGGATTTTTAAGACCAGGCTTTAACCCCCACTGTAGCTGACGAGAACAAATGTGGAATTAGTCCCCTAAAGGTAACCATGGACACCCCAGGCTACGTGAAGGGTAGGGGGGAAGAGACCACAGGAGAAAAACCAACCTTGAATTTGTCCCCTAGGAGTTTGTGGACAATTTCTTCCTCCTCATTGGCCGTTTTGCTGCAGAACTGGGAAAAAAGCCTGACCCAGTGGTCCTTGTCCTTGGCCTGTAGGACAAAGACACACAAGGGCCATGTGCCCATGTGGGACAAAGGGCTTATGTCTCTCAAGGGAACGAGCACCATCCAAGCGCTTGTGCCCCGCTCCCCCTCCAACCCCAGCCTCTCCCCCTCCAACCCCAGCCTCTCCCCCTCCAACCCCAGCCCCCACCCACACAGCCACTTCCTAACTGGACTGGGGCTTGCCGACTCGGAACGCTGAGAAAACAGAGGGCCACTGAGGAGGAACAGTACAGACAGAAGGGGTCATCACAGCATCTCTCAGCTGTGACAGACGCTGGCCTATCAGTCAATCTCAGTGTCCATAGCCTATGCCTGCTTCCTGGTTAGCATGCACTGGAGGCTCTACACGGCAAGCAGCTGTCCTTCGGGAAAACCCAGGAGCAAGGGCATCCAAGCAAGGTCAGGTGACTGAGAGCCAGGGTTGGTGGGGAGTGAGCTTCTCTGACTCACCTGTTTCACGGTGGCCACCATCCGAGCCATCAGCATTATACTTGCAGTCTCCGGAGGATAGTGAACACTCCTGGGGAAGAGAAAACGTAGCCTACAAGTTCCCTCCCTGGCAGCAAAGCCGGGGAAGCCCGTACTTGGGCAACTTTGTATCCCTTAGGGTTGGTAGACTCCAGGACTCTGAAAAGGGTTGTAGATGGTAGGGCTGGCTGCTCAGATGAAAGGCGGGTGCTGAAAACCGAAAACTTAACAATGGAGAAGGCATCTTGGGGATGTAACTCATGAAAGCTCCCACAGCTGCTGAGCTGAGGTTACAATGAAGGACGGGGAAGATGAGGCCCTACCTCCATGCCTCCTGCAGCTTATTGAGGGGGTGGCGGGGGTCATCCTGGGACGGGCCTGGGCACAGGATTCGGTGGTATTGCTCCGCAGCTGCCAGCCGACACTCTGCACTGCAGTACGTCACCTGTTAGGCGGGGTGCAGGTCAGCCCCCAGGACCTGGGGTGCTCACCTCATTTAACTGCATTCTTACTGTAACGAGAACTCCCAGTGGATAACCTGAGCTGGTTGTTCTACACGAAGGGAAGAGGGCGTTCAGCTTCTCTGACCCCCTCCAGACCTATTTTCTGGATGACGGACACTGGCAGCAAAAAAGCGGACAATGGCGGGCCTTTCACCGTTACACACTGGACTGTGAGCCTTGACGAATGCACAGGTCTGTGGAGACTTTGTCTGGCCAGTGAAGACCAGGCTAAAGCCTCCCTGACCTGCTCCTTTTCCTGTCCTTCCCCGCGTGCTCACCTGGCAATGCGGGCAGCTCTGGTGGAGGTCCTTGCGCACACCGCACAACTCTGGGTGTGGGAGAACCTGGCCTGGTTTCCCAGTCAGCCGCTGTGCGTTCTCCTCTGCCTTCTCCAGTGCCCGAAGACAGTGGTCACAGGCTGCAGGGAAGCCAGGCACAGTAAGGCCCTTCCATCAAGGGCTAGCTCCTCCTGATCCCACGCTTTTCTATCAGACTCAGTCCATGGGACCCCTGCCTCAGACTGCTGCTCCCTCTAGTTTGTCTCTAGCTTAAAAAGTATGAAGAGGCCGATGGCTGGCAAAGCTAAGGACCCCACTTGCTCTGGCCCCTAACTCAGTCTTCAGTGAGCATGGGTTATGCGCCACCTTCCGGTAGGGACATCTAATTTTGTGCAGAGCCCTTCAGTATGATGAACCTAAGTGTATATTATGGGAGCAGACGCTTAAGTTCTATCTGAGAGTGCATCCTCCCCAAGAAGCATTCTGGAGTCCACCTCCCATAGCAGGTACACAGGCCCAAACACAAAGGTAGGCAGAGGTGTGGTTCTCAGGTCCTGTTCTCCAGGAAAAGACAGCATTTCCTCCCAATACCCAGAGGGTTAGCCGGAAGATGTGTGAGGCTCTCTTCCATGCACAAAATGGATGGCCCGACTGCCACCTGAAGCAGGCAAGATAAGCTTACCTCGGTACCGATAAAGTGCATTCCAGAGAAACTGTGAAGCCACCAGGGGTCTTTCAATGAAGATGGTCTCTCCCTTCCGGATCAGCTGTGTGGCAAACAGTCCCTTTCCCTAACAGGGCAGAGAACATAAGATACAGCTCCAAACCTGCCATAGCGACCCATGCCTATAATTCTAGCACATGAACAACAGGAGGATCAGTAGTTCAGGGCTAGCCTGGGCAAATAAGACCTCGTTTTCCTTGAATGATGTTCCACAATCATGAGGACCAGAGTTTGGATCCCAGTCCCCACAGAAGTAATCCAGGTGTCTCTAAAACGCCTATAACCCTAGCTCCAAAGAAGGCAGACACAGAAGATCCCACAGTGGAAACAGAGAACCAGCTACTCAGTTGTCATCCGACCTCCACATGATGTGGCACACACGCATCCATGTCCACATACACGCATACCATACACACAAGTAATAATAAAACACTTATCTTCCATAAGTGACTGTTTTAGAAAAATACAATAATCAAAATAATCCAAAAAGGAAGCAACCCCACATTAATAAGCCATACCAGGATCTAGCTAGTGTACAGCAGTATAAGATTTCAACTGGCACCTACTGAACCTCAGGTCAGGCTTCTGTCCCCACTGATTTGTCTCTGGCAAAACGATTCGTAGAGATCTAGAAATCAATTAACATCCACAGAAGCGGTGCGAAGCAGCTAAAAGCTATGCTCACACTTGTCCCTTCCCATCATGCTCTAGGAGATAGTTCTCTAAAACTTTCAAAGAATAGGTAACGCCCACTCTACCCTAAGCCAGGTTTTGGTGTTATATGGTAACCCTGGGGAAGATGGCACACTGGGAGAAAAAAGTTACAGTTCGGTCACCAGATGGCTACAGCTGTCACAGCAGACAAGTCTGCGCTGGACGGTGAGTCTCCCCAGCAGAAGGCAGGGGGTAGGCAGTGGAACAAGAGTTTTCGCTGTTGTTGTCTGAGATGTGATTTTACTCTGGACCCCAGGCTGGCCTGGAACTCACAACAGTCCTCCTGCCTCAGACTTCTGAGTGCTGGAATACAGGACAGGGCCACTAGCCCAGTCACCAGCTAGGGTCCTAAGAGAAGGCTAGGACAGAACTGGGAAAGGAGATTGGAGGAAATAAACAACCAATGAGAAGTGAAGGAAAGAGAAGGCAGGAGAGGGGCAGGAGATTCGTAGGATGTAGGGAAGCTGACTTCCCACCCAAGGAGAAGAGCGCTCCCAAAGCCTATGGGACAGAAAAGACAGCAAGACAAGTTTAGGACGGAAACCTGGACAGAGATGGTGGCAGCACATGACTACAAGGCTAACATCCTTGGCCAAGGACCAAGGTTATGCACATTATTATCATCATTATTGTTACTATTAATTCAACGTAACTGTCACCCTTAGGAGTGAAAATTAAGACTAAGCAATACCATCTTGCATATGCCAACTGGCAAAGGCAGGAAAAAGCAGTGCTGGAGAGAACAAATCTCTCTGCACTGAAACCCAGCAGTGAAGAGACCTTTGCTCTCAGGGGTGATAAATAATATATGACATAAAGGAGCTATAAAAAAGGATTTGGTTGAGTGAAGTACGGTTCTCCCATGAAACATTATCAATCAGGTCTTTAAACAAGTAGAAACGGGCTAAATGGTATGAAAGATGTACTGAAAACATGTACTGGGACAGGGTAGCCGGTGTGCTTCAGCCACTACCAGGTTGTAACCCAGCTCTTGGGAGGTAATAGCAGGGAATGAGTTCAAGACCAGCCTGGACTACATCAAGACCTCATTTCAAACCACAGAGGTAGCTCCTAAAAATATGTAACTTTAATATACACATGCGCGTACAAGTACAACAGAGTGATCTTTATCTTTATTCATGTGCATTTTCTACTCTACAAGGAACGAATAAAACACGACGATAGAGCCGGGCACAGTGGCACGTGCCTTCAATCCCAGCACTGGAGAGGCAAAGGTCAGCCCAGTCTACACAGTGAGTTCCAGAACAGCCAGAGCTACACAGTGAGACCCTGGCTCCAAAACAAAGCAAAAGCAAAGCACGCTGAAACAAATCACGAAATCAAGTCCCTCCCCAGTTAAAAACCCTTCGCAGCGGCACTCAGCGAGTGCCTCCCTCCCTCCCTCCCTCCGGGGCGGCAGGCCGCTCCGTGCCTGCTCCCTCCCCACCCCCGCCACCCCGGGGCAGCCGGGAGACCGCCTGCGCCTGCCCCGAGGCCGGGACCGCACCCGGGCGGCCGCCTCCCGCCCGCCCGCGCCCCGCGCCGCCCGCGCGCCCGCCCGCCCCACCTTGGCGCTGCTCACGAAACGGACTTCCACGGAGCCGCGGGCACCGCCCGCCACGCCCACGCAGAAGGAGAACACGTCGCACATGGAGGCCGCCATCTTGGGCACGCCTCCGCCTTCTGACCCTTGACCCCGCCCGGGAGGCCCCGCCCACGGGGCGGCTGAGCGCCCGCCCCCCTCCCGCCATCCCCACCGCTCCCGGGACCGCTCCGCTCCGCTCCGCTCTGCAGCAAGGCGGGGCTTTTGGACGCCTCGGTTGCGTGGCCCGGAGGAGCCCGGCCTGGCTGCGTGCTTGCACCTCTGGTTACCGGTGTTTCTGACTCGGTGGCCAGGGTCGCAGTCCACCGGCCACGGCGGACCAGCCAGCCAGAAACGGGTCGTTATTGCACCTTTTCACGCTGTCTTGGTTTTGAGACAGGGCCTCACTGTGTATCCCAGGCCGGCCACGAGCTCGCAGCCGTCCGCCTGGTTCAGAAGCCCCTCATCGTCCGCGACTCTGCACGAAGCCTCAGAAGAAGGAAGGCTGAGCCACTCTCCCTTTGACACTCATTCCGAAAGGAAGAAGCTCACTCAATTTAAAAAGCTCCCCTCCTCCCTTGGCAACATCTCTGCTCTGCTGTTGTTACAGTACCTTGCATGCAGGTGGAGGGAGAGCTTGAGCCTCAACATTTGAGCCTCAATACTGTTTAAACCAAGCGCGATGGGCCACGCCTAACACCTCCGCACTCAGGTGGAGGCAAAGGACCTGAACACAAGGCTAGCCTGAAGTACACGAGACCCTGTCTGATAAAGAAAATTTAGGGGCTGGAGAGATGACGTGGCAGTTAACACTTGATGCTCTAGCAGAGGACCCAAGTTTGGTTCCCAACACTGGTTCACAACTATCTGTATGTAATTCCAGTTCAGGAGGGCTCTGATGCCGGTCTTCCAACCTAACCTCCTCAGGCACCAGGCACACACATAGTGCACATACAGACAGGCAGGCAATCATACCCATACATTTAAACAAAAACTAAAAAGAAAAAGGTATTTCCTTTTTCTATAAACCCTCCTGCAGCTGGGCAGACTGTCGTATTTTAGCCAGGTTGGACCAGTGCCTCTGAATTGACAGGGGCTTTGACCTTGCAAAGTAGTCAGAGGACCCCTTAACTAGAGGTAGAAATGAGGGTACACAGGCATTGTTCTGAGGCTGAGGAGGGCTGTGCCTGTTCCTGCAGCTAGACCTGACCACCATTCCTTGCTCTGTTTTGTTCCTCTGTTGACCATGCAGTCCTTGAAACAGGACCTATATCTGCTCTATTCTTGTTCCATGGTGACCCTTGAGGATTAGGTAACAGTCTAGTAATTATTTCATGTTTCTATTTTTATTTTGAGACAAGGTCTCTATGTAGACCATGCTGGCCTGAAACTCGCAGAGATCCGCCTGCCTCTGCCTCCTGTTTCTTAAGTGAGCCAGTAGGGACCGTTTGTAACATAAACATGAGGGCCTGGCTTTGATCCCCAGTGCCATGAAATAGGCTGGGCATGGTGGCAAACATTTGTAATCCCAGGGCTGGGGAGGTAGAAATAGGGTGGTACCTGGGGTTCTGTGGCCTACCAGTTAAACGGGCTATCTCTAGGCTCAAGAGGAGAATCTGTCTCAGACACAGGGAGAGCTGATGGGAACTGTCATTCTGTAAATATGTTTCTCTTATTGGGTAATGAATAAAACACTGTTGTCCAATAGGAAAGCAATATAGGCGGGACTAGGAGACAAGGAGGATTGGAGGGAGGAATAGGGAGGAGTCAAGATGTAGAGACTTGAGAGAACAGAGCTTCAGGCCCTCTCTCCGGTAAGATGAGACCACGTGGACACTCTTTGATAGAAATGTGTTAATATTTAAGACAGAGCTAGTGAATAAGAAATGTTAGTAACAGGCCAACAGCTTTATATCTAACACGGCGTCTCTGTGTGTTATTTGGGGCTGATGCGGCAGTGAGAACAGGCCGGCGGGAAAAACTGCTCATATCAGAGAGCAGTTAAGACATTAAGCCTCCAACATATGTGTGGTTATAGACACACACACTGAGTCAGATGTCCCTGAAGGAGACAGCTGGGACTAGGTTCCTCTAATGAATAGGACTTTTGAGTCCAACATTCAGACACAGATAAAGGTCTCAGTTTTTTCATTTCTCTTTTGTTATTTTAATTTTTTTTACATGTGCAGATGTTTGCCTGCATGTGCTGGGTGCCTGCAGAAGTCAGGAAAGCGCATTGGATCCCCTGACCTGGCCTTGTGGATGGTTGTGAGCCACCATGTTAGAACAAGTGCAGCCGCCTACCCAGCCCCATGTTTTTGTAAAGAGTGCGTCTGTATGTGTGTGGCTGTGAGCATTGCAGGGAGACAGTTCTCTTCTTCCATCCTGTAGGTTTCCAGGGATCAAACTCAGATCTTCGGGCTTGGCAGCAAGAGCCCTTACCTGTGGAGCCTCTACCAGCCCTGGTTTGTGACTGAGCAGTGTCTCACTGTTTAGGCTGGACTCAAACTCACTATGGTAGCTCTGGCTGCCTCAGGTCCACCATCCTTCTGCCTTAGCCTCCCTAGTGCTAAGAGTACAGGGCTGCCCTACCCTGCCCAGCTCCAGGGGATGGCTTCTCGATTCCCTCTAGCCTGCCATTTAATGTCTACAAGTCCACTGGATTTATTATTATTATTATTATTATTATTATTATTATTATCATTTATGACAGGGTTTTTCTGTGCTGCCTTGGCTGTCCTGGAACTCACTCTATAGACCAGGCTGGCCTTAAGACCCACCTGCCTCTGCCTCCCGAATGCTGGAATTAAAGGAGTACACCACCACTTCTGGCTAAAGTCCACTGTTTTGCGTGCCAGCTACTTTCAAAGCTTCCTTCCTCTTTCCCCAGAAAACTGGGCCCTGAGAAAACCCTCATAGAGGAAGATCAGGCCTTTTTTTCACGACATCACCTCACTCAGCCCAGGAGCTCTAGGCGAACAGTCTGCACTACAGAAATCAGCTCTTAAATGTCAGAGGCTGACTTGTCAAGAATAAGCTCTCTGCAGGCTTCCTGGCAAGAGACTGAGCAGGGTGGGAGGGGCATTCGGGGAGGAACTGTATTGTCAATGCTGGGTGAAGAGAAGCTTTGACAAAATGAGGCAAACACAAATTTCTAGGGGAAAGGGTGGGCTCTTGAGAGAGAATGACGGTGGGTAAAGGAGTGTATTGCTCTGGAGGAAACTATTACCGCAAACCTGAAAGTGGTAACAGACAAGACAAGAAAACACCGGGCAAGCATAGTGCCTTTCACCTGTTACCTTAGCACTGGAGAGGCTGAGGCAGGAGGACTTCCATGAGTGTGAGGTCAGTCTATGCCACATAATGAGAATCTGGGAAAAAACAAACGAACAAAACAAAACAAAAAAGCTGTTACCCCAGCATGTGGGAAGCAAAAGAGAGTCAGGAGTTCAAAGTCTTCCTGGGATAGGGAGTGGGGTGGAGATGAAGGCGTGGGGTTGAAATGTGGGAAACTCCGTCTCCAGCGGCCTCAGCAATATGGTTCCCTCCAGACCCCAGGGAAAGTCTTCCACACCCTGATGAGCATTAAGGAGGGCCCTGTCCACAGACAGGCCAGAAAAGAGTTGATGAATCCATCCTCAGACCTTGGGAGAGCGCTTCCATTCCCTAGGTGAGAGGACCTACAAACCTCACCAGTTCTACACCCCGACCAGGCTTACACTCTACAAGTGTTTTCCCCAGGAGAGATGTGGAAGTTATCAACATTCCTGCTCCAGCCAAGGACATACATGATCCTATCAGTCTGCTCCCAGGGATCTCTTACTTGATTGTTCAAGTACATTTGGTGTCCTCTGACCTTAAGGAAGCTCTTCACTGAGATGTGGGACTGGGGGGGGGGGTCCAGCAGGCGTCCCAGGAAGAGACTAGCCCACATAGCATGCTGCTGGCTCAGTCCTTAACTGCCAACTCCTGACCTTCACTCTGGATGTTGCCATCTGAGCTGCTGGAGGGCTCTTGCATGGCAGAGGAGGAAGGCGATTTCCGTTTTTGCTGCTTCCGATACTTCACCCTGCGGTTTTGGAACCAGATCTTCACCTGCAATTGGGGGCATCAGAATTCGGTTAGCAGGTCCCTTTACCCTTCACTCACTTCCAAAGGTGTACACACACACACACACACACACACACACACACACACTCATCCCAATGCCTACCTTTGTTGTTTTGAGATAGGGTCTCCTGTCTTCCAGGCTAGCCTCAGACTCACTATGTAGCTCAGGGTGACCCTGAACTCCTGGTCCCCTGCTTCCCCTTCCCAAGTGCTGGCATTACAGGTGTGTGACACTATGCCCATTTTATGGGGTACGGGAAACTGAATCCAGGACTTTGTGCATTTGAAGCAAGCACTCTATGTTCTAGCCCCCAGTGAGTACTATGGCTGTGCTATCCTAGGTGAGAGTGACAGGTAAGAGAGGTATGGTCTCTGTTCTCTGCAGCTCACCATCCAGTGGACGAAGACCCAATGTAAATAAGTATTAGAGGATAATTGGAGGCACAAACGGAGGCTGGTACACACATAAAACTCTGGGTTTGACACTCAGCACCATGGTAAACATGTGTCATCTTAGCATTTGGGAGGTGAGGCAGGAGGATTAGAAGTCCAAGATTTTCTTTGGCTATGTAGCAAGTTCGAGACCTAATGGATGTCCTTCTGTATATCTGTTTCTCTTATTGGTTGATGAATTAAACACTGATTGGCCAGGAAGCTAGGCAGGGTTAGGAGATGAGGGAAATGCTGGCCAAGAGGCCGTGAAGAGACGCCATGTAGAGACCAGGAAGATGGGATGCACCAGGTGTTCTCCGGTAAGATGAGGCCATGTAGAAATACATAGATTAGTAGTTATGGGTTAATAATCAAGAGAGCTAGCCAGTAAGAAGCCCTAGCCATTGGCCAACAGCTTTATAATTAGTATTGCATCTGTGTGTTTATTTGGGGCTAATTGGCTGCAGGACTGGGCTGGAAAGAAACTCCAGCTACAGAGACCAGCCTGAGGTACATGAGAACCTGTTTCAAAACAGACAGATACACAGAGAGAGAGAAAGAGAGGAGAGAGAGGGAGAGAATGGAGATGGTGAGGACAGGACGAGAGTGAGCATAGCAAACTCCTCAGAAGTTGTCTGCAAAGGGGATGGAGCAATGACTTAGTAGCAGGGGAATATGGGGTCAAGTCACTACTCAAATATAGGGCCCCTTGAATACTTGGCTTTGCTGACAGCCCCTTATTTAGCATGGAAGCAATCAGAAGGTACTAGAGGGCCCCAAGGAAATGTCCCAGATGGCTTCAAGTCTCAAGCTTGCTAAGAAAGTCTGAAGATCAGAGCTCAGGTCACCAGAAACCCACATAAATGCCAAGTGGCCCACCTGAAACTCCAGCCTCAGCAAGCAGAGACAGGACCCCCAGAGCAAGTTGGCACAATGAGTCTAGCCATAAAATACCAGCCCTGGGTTTGACTGAGGTTCTGTCTTAGTGGACAAAGGGGTACAGCAACTGGAAATGACACCTGACATCAACCTCGGGCGTCCTCCACATATACACACACTGGCACACATGTGTGCCTGTGCGCATGCAAAAACATGCACACACATATGCAAAACCCACAAAAAAGATAAAAAGGAGCAAATACTAGAGAAACTTTATGCTTACAATGTGACTCCAAATAGGAATGTTATATGACATAGAGAATGCCTAAACAATTAGGACCTGTCTCTCTCCAGCATCCTTCCTCCCGTCCCTTACTACGAGCCTACCAGAGGTGGTGACAGTTGCCACAGAGCCTGGGCCCCTGTTCACACCTGGTTCTCTGTCAAGTGCAGCCTGGCAGCCAGCTGGGCTCTCCTCTGCCCCACCAGGCTGTGCTGCTCTGCAAACGCTCTCTCCAACTCTTCCAGCTGCTGCAAATTAAACATCCTGGGGGGCCTCTTTCGGTGTCTCTCGGTGTCCTGATGGGTCATGGTAGCTGCCCAGTCCACAGGGCTCCAGAGGCCTGGACAGTGAGGCAACTCCGAGCCTACAAAACAACCCACAGCAGGGGACGTCAGCTTGCAGCCACCTGCCCCAACCCCCACCACACACACACACACACACACACACACACACACACACACACACACACACACCATGGAGGAGAGAGAAGACTCACAGGCTCCAAATCTCTCCCCTCTCCTTGGACAGGTACAGTGGGAAGAGGCTGTATAGAAATAACCCCAAAAAGCTGGGCAGATGACTCAGTCAGTAAATGGCACAAGACTGAGGACCTGTATTCTCATCCCCAGCACAAAGAAATAATATATTATAATAATAATAATAATAATAATAATAATAATCAGGGTTGAACTTTTTTGCGGAGACATGAGGGTGCTTGAGGAGCTTTTTGGCCCCTCTAGCCGACTGGAGAGCCTCAGATTAAGTGAGAGGTCTTATCTCAAAATTAAGATGGAAAGGAACTGAGAAATGGCTTGGCAATTGCTACTCTAACAGAGGACTCAGGTGGTTCCCGGCCACTTGTATTTGTTTGTAACTAGCCGCAGGGAATCCGATGTTTACTTTCGGCCACGTCAGGTGTACACACATGGCATACATTCACACATACACACAAATAAAACATCTTTGGTGGGCAGGGGAGAGGAGTCAAAAAGAAAAACAGTTAAAAAAAACCACCATATTTTAAAAAATAATAAGGACACCTAATATTGACCTTTGACAGCCATGTCCAATCACCTGCGTACATATGAACACGCACGCACGCGCACACACACACACACACACACACACACACGAGCCAGAGGACTCATAAGGGATGTGTGTCTTCTGGACTTGACACGGTTGTTGCAGCTATGAACTCACAGCAGCTGTGATAACAGGCACGTACCGTATACCATTGCCCCTAGCTAACTCCAGGATTTCCCTTTGATGCCACCTACTACCGCTTCCAAACTCAAAGCCGGTACCTGTGAGGCTGAGGCCCTGATGACAGAAGAGGTGAGCCCCATTCGGTGCGGGCGCGCAGGGCACGGTGCACAGCGGGTAGACGCCCAGGCTCAGGTAGGCGGGCAGCCAAGTCGCTGCGGAGCACACCCAGGGCGGGACCGAGTGCTGCGACGCCGAGGTGAGGTTCAGACTCGTGCAGGTACAGAGCGGCAGAGGGGTGGCCGTTCTGTCAGGGGCCCCGGGTCTCGCCAGGATGGCCTCGATAGAAAAGGAGGACTCCGGGCGTCCCTGCGCTAGGCGGCGCGGGAGCACTGGGGACTCAGCCACGGGACAGGAGCCCAAGCTCCGGGGTTGGACCTGAGCGCCCCAGGGAGCAAGCTGCTGGGGCTCAGGGCCGGACATGGTGCGACCCTGGACCGACCTGGCCTGGAGAAGAGCGGGAGGAACTCCCGGACTGAGCAAGGAGCTCAATAGGAGAGAGGGGCCGCCGGAGACTTGTGAATCAGGGTCCCCTGGACCTGCTGTTCCCCCCCAGGGCTCTTAAACTTAGCGGGTGGGGGAGGCGGGGCGAAGGCCAGACTTCTCTCCCAGAGGCCAGGCCTCTAAAGTCAGAAGCTGCAGGTTGCATCCCACAGCTGCAGGATGCATCCCACCAGGGCGGGTGGGCGGTGGGGGTGGGGGGGAGGGGATGGTAGGAGGCGGAAGGGGACTTCCTCCATCCTGGTGCTTTGGGGGAAGGACCTTAAGAGCTCACTTCAGCTCACTATGGTGCCCTCCTTCGCCCTCTCCCTCTTTTATTCTAGAAGGTCTTACTATGTGCACCTCTGGCTGTCCTGGAACAGACTATGTGGATTAGGCTTGAACTCACAATGATCCACCGCTTCTGCCTTGTGAGTGCTGGGATTAAAGGTGTGTCCTGCCATACCACCCCCCCCCCCACCAGCCTCAATCTGTAGCCCAGGCTGGTCTCCAAATCATGGCTGATGGCAGAATCATGGCAATGCTGCCTCAACCTTTCAAGTGTGAGGATTACTGGCATGTTCCACCACGCCTGGCCTCCCGTGGCTCTCTGGTGATCCTGGATGTAGGTTCTCTGGCCCTGGTTTTGTTTTCTATGATGCCAGACTCCCCTGTTGGTGTGGGGAACAGTGATCTCAGAAGGATGGGGCAGTGCCTGCTGTGCTGATTTCCTAATCTGTACCCTTTTACCAAATAACTTTGGGCACTGCAACTGAGTATATAAGGCAAGCACTCTGTTACTGAGCCCCTGGGAGAGCCCTCCACAAAGCAGACGCCCTGGTTAGATTCACACACCCACTGGAATTTTAAAATGTGTAAACACAGCCCAGGTGGTGGTGGCCCACGCCTTTAATCCCAGCACCCCAGAAACAGAGGCAGAGGCAGGTGGATCTCTGTGAGTTCGAGGCCAGCCTGGTCTATGGAGTGAGCTCCAGGACAGCCAGCACTGTTACACAGAGAAACCCTGTCTCAAAAATAAACAAATAAATTAAAATGTAAATGTGTAAGCGTTTTACCCATAAACACGGTGGAAAATAAACTTCCTAGATTCTCCAGTGGTCACAGCACTTGGGAGGTAGGGACAACAGGACCAGCCTGTGCTACATGAGGCATTGCCTCAAAAACAGGAACAGAGGCCTGGAGAGATGCTCCAGAGGTTCAAAGTTCTTGCTGCTCTTGCAGTAGACCTGGGTTGGAGCCCCAATATCCACTTGGTGGATCACATTTAATCCCAGTGCTCGGGAAGCAGAAGCAGGTGGATCTCTGAATTTCAGACCAGACTGGTCTGTTTAGTGAGTTCCATGCTAGCTGGGTCTATAAAGCAAGAGTCTGTCTCTTTAAAAGAATTAGACAGGGGCCCGGGAAATGACACAGTAGGTAAAGTGCTTGCCAAGCAAATGTGGAAGGCTGTAAGGATGGAAAAACACAGCCTAACTCTCTAATGACCCCAGGAAGCTAGAAGTTTAAAATACTATCTAAAAGCCCTAAATACCTCAAATTCCAGACCCTGTCCTCTGTCTGTAAATAGGCAGACCTCCGGGGCTATAGAAAACTGATTGGTCTATAAAACATGGGCTTGGATGGTTTAAAATGATTGGTCTAAAAACTATAAAATGGCTTAAATTGATTGGCCCGCACCGCATGGGCTCTTGATGCTATGAGATGCACGGGCTTTGTTGTGAACCCTATAAAATCTGTCTCAATTCTGTACTCGGGGTCCTCAGTCCTCTACCCCTGCGTGGCGTATGACTGTGGACCCCAGTGCACTTGGAATAAACAAGACCTCATGCAGTTTGCATCAAGACCGCTTCTCGTGAATGATTTGGGGTGTCGCCTTTCCTGAGTCGGAGCGTGAAGGTCCACGCTCTGCGGGTCTTTCGGGTCCTGTGTTCAAGTTTCCAGAAATCACATACAATCCCATATATCAGCAAGTATCTGCCATCCTCGGAGCTTCAGTGGGGAGATAGGAGTCCAAGAGGCTAAAATCCCCGGAAGCTCCAGGGCCAACTAAGCTGGGAGAGAGGGAGAGAGGGAGACAGAGAGACCTTGTTTCAGACAAGGTGGAAGAGGAAGACAGACAACAAAGTTTGTCCTCTGTGCCCCACCGTACATGTGCCATGGCAATCATATATACACAGGTGCACACACACATACACATAACACAAATATATATATTTTTGAGACAGGGTTTTTCTGTGTAACTTTGGAGCCTGTCCTGGCACTCAATCAGTAGATCAGGCTGGTCTTGAACTCAGGATCCACCTGCCTCTGCCTCCCAAGTGCTGGGATTAAAGGTGTGGGCCACCATCGCCAGGCACATATTTTTTAAAAAAGAGAAAGGGGAATGGAGGAAGGGAAGAGAATGGGCTGGGATTCGTTCTCTGTGAGCAGTAAAGGGAAATGGTCCCTGGTAACAAAGACAGCACACGTAGTTCAGCAGACATCAGGCCAGCAGGACACTAGCCCAGGTCAGGGACTGACAGTACTTGCAAGGCCCCCCAGGTCTAGTGGCCAGCGGAGGAGCCAACCAAGGGCAGCAGATACAAGTCATACATGGACAGAGGGGCTTCAACACATGGACCCCCCCCCCAAACTGAACAAGCAGTGTCTACCTGGTGAGCCCGGGAACATACCAAGGGCATGTGGACCCTCGTTAGCTCAGCCTGTGATAAGCCCAGAGAATTAACTAGTCTCTGTCGAAATAACCTCAGCATTTGGTCTGTTTTTGCTGGAGGTCCTATTAAAGCCCCTACAGAATGGCTCTGTCGTTTTCTCCTCTCTTAGACCCCTCCTAACCTTAGGAGTGTCTCTCATATTCCCCACTCCCCCCTTACTTTCTCGTTTTCCTTAATTTCCCTTCATAAACTTTGCTTACCCCTGTGTGCCACGGTATTTAGTGCCTGTTTCCCGAGACTGAGGCAAGCAGCTCAAGAGCCACTGTTTGGGGCAGGTATGGTGGCGCACACCTTTAACCCCAGCATTTGGGAGGCAGAGGCAGGCAGATCTCTGTGAGTTTGAGGAAGAAAGGACCTTTCCTCAATTTGCATTATGGGTGTGTAGGGCAGGCATTCATGTCCCAGCTTTGCAGACTTATCAATACTTTCTGGCTGTGTCACTGGATAAATTGCAAGTTAACCATTTGTATTTACCATGTGCAAAGCGGAGAAATAACAATAGTGGTTACCTCGGCTTTGGGTTGGGGCTTGAGTGGGGTAAATCACGCCATGCTTTAGAACTGGTCTGAATTGCGGTGAGCACTGGGCTGTAATGACGGAGCTTCGAGAGTCCCAGTTCCCGGACTCCACTGGCATTCTAGCTTCCCAAATCAATGCCTAGCTCCAAAACTGCACCAACATGTTGCAGCTGCTCCCATGTCACCCCGTGGTCCACGGTTGCCCGGGACACAAACGTGCTCCTCTGCTTTGCCAAGCAGAGGTGGAAGGAATCTTGCTCCCTCCTGAGCATTCACCCGATGCCACAGTCACAGAATGTCACTGAGGGAAGTCAGGGCAGGAGCTGAAGCAGAGTCCTTGAGGAAGGAGTCACAGCCTACACCTTGCCCTGGGCGATGGTACCTCCCACAGTGGGTTAGAGCCTCCTGTGTCAATTTAACAGGCAAGACATGCCCTACGGACATGCCCAAAGGATGGAATTGCCTCTGATGGAGGCAATTCCTCAACTGAGGCTCCACCTTCCCAGGTGACCTAGTTTGTGTCAGGTAGACTATAAATTCTAACCAGGACACCTATCCTGCGTTCTGAGCAGCCCAGCAAGAAAGAGAAGGTCCGGGCTCAGTTAGTAGAGTGCCTGACTAGCGTGTGTGAAGTCCCGGGTTCAGTACTCAGCACCGCATAAAACTGGGCACAGGGATGCATGCCCGCATCTCAGCACAGTGGGACAGAGACGCAGGCAGATCAGCAGTTCAAGATCATCCCTGGCTTCTTCATAGGAGTTGGAGGCTGGCCGGCCTACATAAGACCCTTTCTCAAAAGAGCAAAAGGGAAAGTTTGGGGAGATGACTCAGCAGTTTAGCATGTATTGCTCTTGCATAGGACTAGAGTTCAATTCTCAGCACCCACACTGAGGGTTCACAATCACCTGTAACCCCAGCTCCAGGGATCTGATCTGGTGTACTTTCTGGCTTCTGCAATTGCTTTCCCTCTCCCTCCTCCCCACCACACACACACACACACACACACACACACACACACACACACGCACACACACGCATACACACGGGTTCCACCTCTTTGCACCTTCCCATGTTTCTGCAGATGTAAAATGGCAATTTAGTGAAATTATCTGGGCTGGTGTCACACTTTCTCAGGGGCTGTTACCTTGAGCTGCTTTCTCCAGGACCTTGATTCTACAAGCATCCGGTGGTGGTGGAGATAGATCTGGCTGTTACAGGTCATTTTACAAAGGGGCCCTGGCTTCTTTCGATAAAAGTGGGAAGCTACTTCTGTGACAGCCGGTTCAAGTTGGCAGAGTCCAGGAGTTCGGTCTCCCCGAACATATCATCCCTTCCTCCCGTCATCGATCTATTTTGTGTGTGTGAGTGCATGCTGTTTCTTGCATATGTGGCGTATGTGTGTCTGGTCTGTGCACATGAGTATGCAGATACGTGGGCCCATGGGTAGGCATGCAGAAGCTAGAGGAAGACGGCAGGTGTTTTCCCCTATTGCTTTCTGCCTTTTTCTGGATTAGTTGCTTCTCTATGGCTGTGATGACCAAGGCAGCCTATAGAAGGAAGGGTCTACTCAGGTTTACAGTTCCAGATGGTTAGGGTCCATAATGGTGGAAATAACATGACAGCATGGCAGATATGACAGCCAGAACGGAAAACTGCTCCCATCTCCCACAAACACGGAGGAGAGAGAACT